AGTAACGGCACTGATGTGTCCCTGAGATTTAGGAGTCGTTGCCGAAGGGGGAGCTCGTTGTGTTCCAGGTCGTTGTGGTTGACACTTTCATCTTCTACAGACATGAAGGCGGCCGAAGTGCAGAAGTCAGTCTTTCTATTTCGTCCAGACAAGCCGACCGACTTGGCATCCTGTGTACGGCGGGCTGTTTGGTAGCGAAAGGTGCATTTCCTTCTGGTCCCTGTCGCCCGCCGTACCGATCCATCACCCACTCCGTCGTCACTGTTCAGGAGGTGGCGTACTCGCACGTGACTTAAACGGTTGCTCTGCACAGGGACGCCTTGCCAAATGGGGAACCGCAAACAAAACATCGTCATCCAATCCGGGTCACGACGAGGCTACAACAATCATCAGCCCTCATCCCACATTGACAACCTGGACACCGTCAGCTTTACTAACTTTCTAAAATCATAGTACCTTGTCGCATGTGAAATATACCGACACCTGAGATTTTGGGCGGCATCATGCTGCTCCACGACCGCAGCCCAGACACTTCTCCCTTTAACAGGCATTCTCAACGACCTTTCACCAGATCAGTTCATTCCGATATGTCTGTGGCTTCTCCCATGTCCGCTACCAGCTTCAGCAAATCCCTTCTCTTTGCCTCCCCGACACCTGCACAGACATCGACAAGCAGACATGAGCGTCAGCAATCATACTCCCCCACAGCGACCTTCAGCTCTGTTCCCTCCCACCTCCGCACGCACTCTCTCCAGCGACAGGCAAGTACCTCCAGCACCTTCGCTCCAAAGTTCATCAAGTCCGAGGAGATGAGGAAAAGCGAAGATAGAATCTCGGCTATTGAAGGCGAGAATGACTTCTCTGGCAAACGCTACGTATGGGTCAAAGATCCTGAAAAGGCATTTATTCGGGGATGGATAACAGAAGACCTTCCTGGAAATAAGGTCCTCGTGCAGTTTGACAATGGTTCATCAATAGAGACGGATGTCGACGAGGTGGATAAGGTCAACCCAGCCAAGTTTGACAAAGCCGACGACATGGCAGAGCTCACCCACCTTAACGAAGCCTCGGTCATTCACAACCTCTATACGCGATATCAGGCCGATTTAATCTACACATATTCCGGCCTGTTCTTAGTGACCATCAACCCTTATTGTCCCTTGCCTATTTACGGCAACGACTACGTCCGGATGTACAAAGGCCAAACGCGAGAAGACACCCGTCCTCATATCTTTGCCGTCTCTGATGCCGCCTTCCGCAGGCTGGTGGAAGAGGGTGAGAATCAAAGCATATTGGTGACGGGAGAGTCCGGTGCAGGCAAGACTGAGAATACGAAGAAGGTCATCCAATACCTCGCTGCGGTTGCCACCTCAGATCTCGACACACCTCTAACAGGGAGGACGCCCGGGAAGCAGCTTTCAAATCTCTCTCAGCAAATCCTTCGTGCCAACCCGATCCTCGAATCCTTTGGCAATGCCCAGACTGTCAGAAATAACAACTCCTCGAGGTTCGGCAAGTTCATTCGCATTCAGTTTACTCGGTCTGGGCAGATCGCAGGCGCCTTCATAGATTGGTATCTGCTCGAAAAGTCTCGAGTGGTCAAGATCAGCCAACAAGAACGAAGCTATCATGTCTTCTATCAGTTACTGGCTGGCGCCGATCAAAGAATGAGAGATTCATTGCTTATTTCAGGCATGGATGTCGAGGACTTCGCATATACGCGAGCCGGGAATGATACCATTGGCGGTGTATCCGATCGTGACGAGTGGAACACATTGATCGAAGCATTCCACATCATGAATTTCTCCGAAAAAGAGCAAATGGCCGTGTTCAGAACGATTGCCGCTATTTTACATCTCGGCAATGTTGCGGTCCGGCAAGAAAGCAGAGCAGGAGACCAAGCTTCACTTGCCCCAGAAGCCCGAAGTTCGGTAGACAAGGCATGTCGATTACTGGGGGTTCAATCAGACCCGTTTGTGAAAGCTCTTCTTCATCCGAAAGTCAAAGCCGGACGGGAATGGGTGGAGAAAACCCAGACCCCGGAGCAAGTCCGTCTTGCTCTAGATGCTCTGGCCAAAGGCATCTATGAGCGTGGCTTTGGAGATCTCGTGTCGAAAATCAATCACCAACTGGACAGAGGAGGCGTCAGTAGCGATGACAGCCACTTTATCGGAGTACTTGACCTGGCTGGTTTTGAGATTTTTGAGACGAATAGTTTCGAACAGCTCTGTATCAACTACACCAACGAGAAGCTGCAACAATTCTTCAACCACTATATGTTTGTTCTGGAGCAGGAGGAATATGCTCGTGAGCAGATTGAGTGGCAATTCATTGACTTCGGCAAAGATCTACAGCCAACCATCGATTTGATCGAGCTGCCCAACCCCATTGGAATCTTCTCTTGCCTCGACGAAGACTCGGTCATGCCCAAGGCTACGGACAGATCCTTTACCGAAAAGCTCAACTCATTGTGGGAGAACAAGACCCCGAAATATGCTCCTGCTCGAACCAGGCAGGGATTTATCCTCACCCACTATGCTGCAGAAGTTGAGTATTCAACCGAAGGCTGGCTGGAAAAGAACAAGGACCCTTTGAATGATAACCTGACCCGGCTTCTTGCTGCTTCCAAAGACGATCACATTGCGAACCTCTTTTCCGACTGTGTTGACGAGGTCGACGAGCCATATAGCCCCCGAAGTCGAGTGAAGAAGGGCCTGTTCCGCACCGTGGCGCAACGACACAAAGAACAATTGAGTATCTTGATGAGACAGCTCCATTCAACCCAGCCTCATTTCGTCCGTTGCATTCTACCCAACCACAAGAAGAAGCCCAAACAGTTTGTTGCTCCTCTGGTGCTGGACCAGTTGAGGTGCAATGGTGTGCTTGAAGGAATTCGGATTGCACGTACGGGTTTCCCCAACCGTTTGACTTTTGCAGAATTTCGGTCCCGATACGAGGTATTGTGCGAGAACATGCCAAAAGGGTATCTAGGGGGCCAGGAAGCCGCAAAGATAATGCTTGATCGACTCAAAATGGACCAGTCCAACTATCGCGTGGGCTTGACGAAGGTCTTCTTCCGCGCAGGAGTTCTGGCCGATCTGGAAGAGCAGCGCGACAGTCTGATCAGAGAGATCATGTCCAATTTTCAGTCTGTTGCTCGAGGTTTCATGCAACGGCGCTTGGCTTTCAAACAGCTGTACCGTGCGGAAGCAACAAGGGTGATTCAGCGAAATCTCAACGTATATCTTGATCTCCAAGCCAACCCGTGGTGGCGGCTTTTTGTTCGCATGAAACCCTTGCTGGGAGCGACTCGAACTGCAAGTGAAGTCAAAAAGCGAGATGAGAAGATCGAGCAACTGCAAGCAAAAGCGAGGCAGGATGCTGCAGAAAGACAGCGGGTGGAAGAGGAACGGAGACGCGCAGAAATTGAAGCTCACCGGATACAACAGACCCTGGATTCAGAACGGGCGCTAGCTCTTGATAAAGAGGAAATATTCAAGCGATTGCAGTACCGTGAAAGCGAACTGAGCGAGAAGCTGGCAGAGGCGATTGCTGAGCAAGAGACTCTGGAAGATCAATTGGATGAGGCATTAGATTGCAAGAAGAAGACGGAAGAAGAGCTGGTCACTCGTCGGGAACAGGTTCTGCAGGCTGGACAGATCATAACGAGATTGGAAGCGGAGAAGAAAGAGCTTCAACGACAGATCGATAAACTGGAAGAGGAGCTGGAGAGTGTGGAGAAGTCGCATACACAGAATGATGACAGGCTCGAAACCATCAGCCAGGAACTTCGTTCGTTGCGAAGCAATCTCAGTGTGAAGGATCGCAAAATATCTGAACTCGAGTCAAATCTACAGCAAGCAGAGAAGGACAAGGAGAGTCGCACTTCTAGCCTTGAGCACGAACTTCGATCTCTAAAAAGCCAAGTCGCACAACGCGATCGGGCCGCTGAAGGCCTGGAACAGGAGATTCGTTCACTGAGGAGCCAACTCTCCCAGAGAGACAGAGCGACTGAGGATCTGGAAAAGAAACTTCATCGAGCCGAATCCCAGAGAGCGGAAGAGAACAGAAGGCAGGCAGAGGACTTTGATGTGCAGGTCCGCTCGTTACGCAACGAACTCAACGCCAAAGAGCGCAAACTACAGGAGCTCGAGACAGCATTGTCCAAAATTGACAAGGACGCCGAGGTCAAACTGTCGCAAGCCACGGGCGAATTGCTCAACACCAAGAAGCAGCTGCGAGAGACCCAGGGCCAGAATGAAGAGCTCAGGAAGCAAATCACGAGCATATCACAGGCCTCTGTAAAGCATGAAGAATCACTGCGTCGAAAAGAAGGCGAGTTATCGGCAATCATGGCAGATATTGAGCGACACCAACGGGAAAAGGCCGACTTGCGAAAGGAAAACGACAGATTGAAGGGAGGACATGAAGATTTGGCGGCGCAAAAGAGAGAAGTGTTGGCGCAGGTGGAAAGGATGCGAGAACAGCGGACAAAGATGGAGAAGGAGGCCGTGGAGGTTAAGAAGTGTTTGGAACGGGTGATGCCCTTTTTCTCACAGAACTTCTCGTGAGAAGAGAGGGCAATGTGGAGTGAGTGACACTAACGCATGGAATATGGAAATGAGATGAAGGCGACAAGCGTCCGGAAAGGCTCTCGACATGAGCCTGGCATGAATTGTTTAATGTGTTTGGCGGATTTGCGAAGGTGTACTGGAACCAAAGGGTTGGTTATGGATATGCACTGCAGGCAGAGTGTTTTTAGCAGCGTACATAGTGTAGTTCTAAGTTGAACAGCAATCAATCCTGTGTATGTGTGTGAAAAGTCTGGTGTTTCTTTGCGAGGAGGCAAGATGCGTAGACGAGGCTGTGAGGCTGGAAACATGCAAGGCTGAACCTGGTCACAAGAACAAACGCAACTCTCTGCGTGTCGTCGTACAGTATTGTAGGTTCATCTAGTCTTGATCAAGTGTGCAGGTACCCCCGGTTGTATGTACTTGAGCTCAGCCTTGTTGCATCCGCAACAAATGTTGGGCACCTAGTATCGCCGGCTGATTGACTACTTCGATATCTCGGAAGGAGAACCCGGCGACAAGCAAGGCCTCTTTGAATGCGTCCACAAAGACTGGACTCTGCATCAAGCCGCCGGCCAGCACTAGGCTGGATGTTGACAGGTCAATTTGTCCAGACCGTATGAGCGGATCAAGCAGCCTGACGAGACTGTTCACGGCCTTCTGGACAATATTCTTTGCTTGTACATCCACTGCACTTGCATCGATCACAAGTCGTGCAACCTGCGCAATCTGTTTCTTCTTCTCCATCTCCGAAGCGGACGACAGCACGGAGCTCAGCAGGTCCAAGGTCGGCTGGGTAGGATCATTGAGGCAGAAGGAGTCGAAAATTCGTTGAGCGAGTGCAGTCGGGGCGAACAGCTTGTCGTCGTCCAGGCTGTGGCGGAGGCTGCGATTGTTGAACTCGTCAACTGCGGACAGTGCCAGGCGGACAGCCTGTCGCCCGATGTCAAAGCCCGAGCCATCATCACCAAGCAGATGACCCCATCCTCCCGATCTTCCACTCCGGACAAACCCATTCCCTTGACGTTGAAAAGCCATTGCGATCGACCCTGTTCCTGCAACGAGCACAATTGCAGAGCTGGCCTCGCTCTTCTCTGCTGCCGAGACAGCAAGCAACTCGATGTCGTTCGTAACCCTCAAGGTGGCTCCCAGGCTCCGCTTGAAGAGCTTTGCCATCATGTCGTCTACGGTGACTGCAACCTCCTTCCGATCATGGCCGGCGAGGGCGATCCAGATGGACGAGAAAAGGCCAGGAGTCCACGGCCCAGCCCTGACTGAGGAGTGCGAATCGCATGCTCTTTGTATAGCTAACGATATCGACTGAATTGCAGATTCGACACCAACGTCTGTTACATTGCAACCTGGTCCTTCGCCGTACCCTATCTGACCATCTGCAGAGGTCACAACTGCGGCGCATTTACTCCCACCGCCATCAACGCAAAGAACATACTCTGGAGCTCCGGAGTCTGCGTTTGGCTGACTCTTCATACATTCATGAGGAGGCTTCTTCAAGACATTTGCTAGGACACCACCGGCGTCTTCCAAGCGCCGCTTCGCTTCCTCTACAGAGGTTCCCAAGCCTATTGTTGCAATGGCGAGCTTGACACTGCCCTGGCAGCTGGCGAGAAGAGCATCGAGATCGGCATCCGAGTCGGGACATTGAGTGCCACCGATAGCCCGCAATATGTTTCGAGATCGTTGTTGCAGTTTGAAGTTGGTTGCTCTGAGATCAACCATCTGGAGGTAGTCAGCAGATTGTCACAGAAGTATCACTAACAGTCGGGCTTTGACTTCATACCATATTCCCGTAAGTCTTCCCGGTCTTGATCATCGTTCCCGTACTGAGCATATTCAGGACCAGCTTCGTTGCCGTACCGGCTTTCATTCTCGTGCTTCCTGTAATGACTTCAGGGCCGACAACAGCATCAATCATGAAGTCTACATCTCCACTGGTACTCATGGCGGAAGGCCGTGCGCAGGCCACGCCAATAGTTGCACAACCGAGACTCTTAGCATAAGAGAGGCAGCTCAATACATAAGGAGTACGACCAGACGCTGCGATACCGATCAATGAGTCAACTGCGCCATTCAATTGGAGAGCTTTCAGATCTTGGACTGCGGCAGCAAGATCATCTTCTGCACCTTCTTGTGCATGTCGAAGGGCCGCATCTCCACCGGCGATGATGCCGACAAACTGGCCCTCTGGAGCAGAATAAGTGGGTGGAATCTCGGAAGCGTCCAAAACACCCAGCCTACATACATCCAAATCACAGTCAGATACGGAATCTCCTCGTCGTGGATAGCGCTACCATTGCCCTTACCTTCCGCTGGTCCCAGCGCCAACATATATCACTCTGCCACCAGACCGGACTCTTGCAGCTAAGCAATCAATGGCGGCCGCGATGACAGGGATGCATCTTGATACAGCCTCCGAAACAGTGGCGTCTTCTGAATTGATGATTTGACAGAGATCGAGGGTAGGAACCTGATCAATATCGAGACTCTTTGCATTTCTTTGCTCGGTCTGTAACGCGAACAAGTTCTCGGGTGAGGCCATGGGCATTTTTCTATCCCTTTCTCACCTCATGCTTCGGTTCACTCAGGTCGATCGCTGCTGTTAGCACCTTGAGAGAGATGTGCTGATACAAGCCACGCCCAGTCTGGAAAATTACAACCATCAGCTGAAGACATCTTCTCTTCCTTTCCAATCTTCCAAAATCCTACCATATTCGTTCGGCCTTGGAAGATCCACTTGCACCTGGTGTGATTTCAATCTCATTTAATAATGAATTGCTACAGACAGTCATCCCCAATGTAACTCCAAGGTCGATAGCGCAACTTGAAGAGCCTGCGGAGAACGACGACGCTGCATAAAGGGCTCCAGCCTTCTTACCTACACCAACCCAAGGAGCCGGGTACATTTCCCGCACAAACGGCCAAAACGCCTTGAAAGGCTTAAGTGGAGATCAGCGGCCACGCGACCCCCAAAGGAATTGCGCCTCCGCTGACTGTTGATCTCACCCCCAAGGAGGCAAACGACCTCCACCAGTCAAGCCTTTCGCATCGACAAAAGCTTTATCAAAGGCTAATCCAGAGTCGGGGAAATGTGGAGAGCGAGTAGTCAATGTAACGGTATCCTTCGCGACGAGAGATATCTGGGTGGTAACCGACGATGTCGCTAATCTACCAAGGATGAAGTATGCTGCTCCTTATATGGGCGTTGCCCGTCGAGCAGCGCGTCTGTGCACTTCCCCCAACAGATCCATTTGTGACTACGGGCCTTCATCATGGTCAACCGAGAGGAGACACAGGCGCCGCAGCCGGTTGAAATGCACCAAGACAACGTCGAGCGAGCGGATGGTTCCCGCTTCTCGTCCGTCAAATCTTTCTATGCGCATCCATGGACTCAGATCATGCTTATCAGTCTGATATGCTTCTGTTGCCCTGGGGTGAGTTCTTACAAGCTACTGAGTCGATATTGGAACAACCATGCTGACCTTACCAACAGATGTACAATGCGCTTGGTGGTCTGGGAGGTTCTGGACAGGTTGATCCGACAGGTATTTAGAACAGACAGTTGATCTCAAAAGAGTTGTTCAACATTGACCAACCAATACAGTGGCCGCCAACGCTACCGTCGCGCTCCTTTCCGCAACCGCTGGTACAGCCTTGTTCATCGTTGGTCCTCTCTTCTCGTACACAGGGCCTCGGATTTGCTTCTTGCTGGGTGGCTGGACGTATGCCCTGTACAGCGGTAGCTTGCTCAATTTCAACCGTGAGGATCATGTGGGATTGTGAAGGTGCTTTGCTAACAGTAGGCAGATCATGACAATGGTGCGTTCGTTATTGCGTCGGGCGCTATCCTGGGCGTTGGAGCCTCGATGCTTTGGGTGGTCCAGGGTGCTATTGTGAGCTTACCCTTCCCTTTGAGATGCATCCCCTATCGACAAGGCCGTTACCATAATGGCTGCCTCTTTTTCAGCACAAGCGGGCAAGCTAACAGCGATTGTCAGATGACCACTTATGTTGCAGAGTCTCAGAAAGGCCGTGCCATTGCCGTCTTCTGGATCGTCTTTAATCTCGGGGGCGGAGTGGGCAGCCTCGCATCCTTTGGTCTCAACTTCCACTCCAAATCTGGCACCGTTTCAGACTCGACCTATATCGCCTTAATGGTCATCATGCTCTTCGGCTGGGTGTTGGGCTTGTTTATTTGTTCACCCAGGCGGATCCGTCTGGCACAGCTCCACGCTGCTGTCGAAGGCGAGAAGCACTCGTGGAAGGCCACCATCGAGATCGCGGTGCGCACCATGGCCAGCTGGCGTGTCTTTTGCATGCTGCCGCTGTTCTTCTGCGCAAACGTCTTCTACTCCTACCAGCAGAACCAGGTCAATGGCATGACCTTCAACATTCGCACTCGATCACTCAATGGGGCCTTGTACTGGATTGCGCAGATGATTGGTGGTCTCCTGATAGGCGTGCTGCTCGACCTTCCGTTCCTCTCCCGACCCATGAGAGCCCGCGTCGGGTGGGTGGTGCTCTTTGTCACCGGCATGTCTATCTGGGGTGGAGGATATGCGTTTCAGAAATGGCAAGACCGACGCCTCGCGGCCGGCTTCAAGCAGGACATTGACTACACCCAGGGCTCCCTGTCGACTGGCCCGATATTTCTGTACATTTTCTACGGGGCGTACGACGCGCTGTGGCAAGGGTTCTGTTATTGGCTCATTGGCACTGAGTCGAACTCGACCTCACGGGCGGCCATTCTTGTTGGCGCCTACAAGACCTTCCAGGCAACGGGCGGGGCCATGGCTTGGAGGATCAATGCGTTGCACAAGAGTCCAATGACGCAGCTGGGGATGAACTGGGGTTTGTCGATGGGGTCGTTGGTAGTTGTGCTGCCAACAGTCTGGACCGTCACGGCCATGACCATTGAGAAACCTATACGGGACGAGGAGCTAGAGTTGAAGATCCAAGAAGTTGAAGCCGGGGTGGACAAACACTGAGACTTTTTCAGTGTCCCCTTCTACAAAGGGGGAGTAGTTAGTCACAAGGGGAAGAAGTCTTCCCTTCCTCCTCCACCGCTATATCCCTCGCTACCAAAAAAAAGAAAGTGACTATCACTTCTTCGAAGTGACAAAAAGTTCAGTTCCACGACTGGTCTATCGTGTAACCTTTCCCGTAGGCTTCATCGTGGGTGTTGCGGCTCCTATCCTCTCCCCGGTGGAGAGGGTTCATCGAGCAATCTTACAACAGCCACTCTGCCCCGTCTCATGGCACCACCGCTGGCACCAGTCATTGACGGTATTTGATCGACATGAGCGAGACCCCCCTCTTTTGCCTACCATTTTTACCCACATTCTCCCACGTGCTCCCCCCGATCTCCTCCAGAGAGGAGGAGGGCGAGGTTTGCAAGGTGAGAGAATGTATATGGGTAAAGCCGACAGCAAACTCATGTCTAGGGAAAGGCCCCACCAACCAGACCGTGATACACTGAACCCAGAACAAATAGTCCCCTTTCCCCCTTTCGGGTCCCCATGGTTTAAAACCGTGGAAACCCGAAAGGGCTGGGGGGTGCGTTATTCGAAGCGTAGAGTGAGGGGTCTCATTACTGCTGCAAGGGACTTCTTCCGACTTGGACTAATTGTTGGGAGATTTTGGCGATTGTAATCATTTATATTCGTGATTTTTCTGCCTGGAAAAAGTGGAGCCGGTGGTAGGTGAAGTCTGGGAGTTCACATGGTCGTCGAGGTGTATCCTTGGCGAGACTGTGAGTGAGTGAATTGTCGTGAGGTTCACCTCGAGGATGGGCTGTTACCGGCCTAGGTGAACATGATCACACCGCATTTCTTTAATGCTCTACGGTGACAAAGTCTACTTGATGGCAATACTTTCAAGACTGCCACAATACGAGTATACGACGAGAACTTTGTTCCCCTCGGGCGGCCAAACATTGTATTGTCGCGATAGGGAGCAGAGAGCCTCATCTGAAAACACTCACAAGGCTGCAGCCTCGTCAGCGCCCCTTGATATCTCTCGAAAGAGGCAAGTTTTCCGGGCCGGCATCACTTGGAGAAACATTTTGCGATTTCCCCGAATCAAGTGATGCTTAAACTGCTCTGCTCATAGCTCTGTAGCATTTCCTGTGCAATTGTTCTTTACACGAAAGAAGTCTTATCAACAGATACTCGTTCGTTCTATATACCTCGCCTGTCCCTACAGCCTCACCTACCGCGTTTCACACCGAAAATGCCGTCCTCGTGTAAAGACATCCGTACGTCCTTGTCCCGCCACCACTGTACATGCTGCTGCAGCCCACCTCGCCGCACAAATTTCCTTTCTGAGCACTGCTGCTCTTCTCCTTTACCAGCGAAATGTATGAATCTGTGGCTAACCCCTCTTCTCCCCGGTCGACAGGTGATGCGCTGGCCCAATGCCTCCAGAACAGCGACTGCATCCTCGTCCAGCGACACACCCCCCTCCAATGCCTCTCCCACCCGCTGCTCGAGACCCTCCCGGAGCAGTGCCAACAGCTCAAGATCGGGTTCCGCGAATGCCGGCGCGGACTGGTGGACATGAGAAAACGATTCCGAGGCAACGCGCCCATTTCCACGAGCCTGGAACTCGAGGGTGGCGACGGGAGTGGGAGGAAGGTCGAGGGGGCGCCGGGTGGGGGGCTCAAGAGCCAGCTGTACGCTGGACGGCCGGCTTTCGATGTCCGCGAGCAGATGGGTAAGGGCCAGAAAGGGGAGGTCGAGGGACTGGGGTTTGACGAGAGCAAGACGAGAGGACTGTAAGGAAATCCGACACCGGACGACTCGCACTGCTGTCTTCCCATCGAAAGCACCTGCGGACATGTCAACGATGTTGCAGACGTACTTGCAGGCGGGACCACCGTGCCTTGGAGGCCGAGATGCACTCTCACTCTCCGCCAGACACCCGGGGCAGAGCCTTGCTGTTGCTGCGACGCCTGAACCCTTGCTGCAGAAGCGATCAGTGGCCAGGTCGGGCCGTGAACAAGAGTCTCGATCAACCAAAGCCGACCAAGAGAGCCGCGCTGTATCATTTCTCGCGAGCAAATTGTACGCCTTCACGTTCCCCAACTGACCTCGACTTGAACAGCAACAAGGACTCGGCTCGACTGCTCAGCTGCAATCCATCTGAGGGCTGCGAGGCAGAGACAGAGCAGTCAACTAGACTCCAAGACGCGGCCAGTACGCGGCCAGCGAACAAGAGACGTGGCCGGCGCATACTCTCCACTCTCTGCGTGAAATCTACTGGGATTTCCTCCCACCAGTGCAGCATTGCCTTCTATGGAAAGTGCTGAACCACATTGCGAATCACGCGGCAATAGCACGTATAGCTTGCCGTCAAATCACCACTGGCGCCAGAAGAGGAGGTCAAGCTGCAAATATCGGACCTCCTGTCAGGCAGAGCATGTACAATAAATAATGGGTGACGCAAGTCACAGAACAAAAGGATTGAACCAAGAGAGACCATTTCTGAATCGATCGCCTTTGTTCGTTCGTAAGCTTTTCTTTTTTAATCTAGAAAATCGCCCTTTATATGCTCCTTGCCAATCCGTCGATGAAGCCCATAGAATACATGACATTCTTTTTGTTTTTCCAGACCGTGGAGACGTACAATAAACCAGGACCCCTAACGGGCCTTCGGCACAGGGCCATCCTCGCCTTGTTCACCTCGGAGTGCTGCTCACACTGAGCTTCCTCCGCCGCTCGGCCTCCTCCTTTGGCGGCTCGCAGTACAGCCACACCATGACAAAGGCGACGAAACCCAGGACGACGCTCCACAGACCCCCGATCCACGGCCACGCGCCGCTGATGGCCCAGCTTCGAGGCCACTCGTCGTGGGCAAAGTGTCTGACGGTGACCTGTCTCTTCTCCTCGATGTAGGTCAGGAAGGGCCGCTTGTAGTTGACCTTGAACGCGAAGATGCCGTGTTGGTCGGGGGTTGTAAATGTCGTGCTAAACACTGTGCTGTTGGGTGTGGTCGAGGACGGCTGGAGCGGAATCCGGTGGAAGGGCGAGAGCATGGTGAATTCGAGTTGCAGGGCATCGTTGGCGGGGACGGTGAAGGGGACGTAGTGTGTTCGGTCGTATTGGCCGATTTCAATGGAGAATTTCTAGAGAAATCTCAGTCAGTGAAAGGACAGCCGGACAGATTCGTCACAAAAGACACCTACCACGTCATTCTTGATCCGATAGATATCCGGGTCGTACTCGCTGATTTGCGTTGTATTCTCACCAGCCGTGGTAGATCGCCTGACCTCGTAGTGTTGGATATGGAAGACCTTGAGAACGCCGACCTCCTGGAAGGTCCACTCGGTCAATTGCTTTGCAAATTCCTGGTTTACCGTCTTCACACTCTTTCCGTTCGGTGATTTTACCGACGCATCAAACCACTTGTCTTGGAGCATTTCCAGCGAGCCGAGGACTGTGAACCTCGCAGAGTTGCGGGCTTGCATTGCGGACACGAGTGCCAACTGCGAGCCTGTTGCGAACGGCTCTTCCACGCTCTCACCCTCGTCTTTCGGATTATATGCATATGCAGTGGCGGGAGCTTTCAAGATGGGCGCCAATAGAGGACTGGTGTTCCCCAGTGTCTGCCCAACTGCTTTAGGCACAGCTAGGGTGCCATCACCACCAAAGAAGTTGACAACATCAGGTCTCAATTGCCCTGGGCGTTCTACCAGTAGAACATCGTGCTTTTCGGCCGCGGAAACTGTGTCGTAGTTGAAATGGTCGACCACCACCGAGGATTTATCGGGCGACAACGAAATATCAAACTCGAGGAGGAGGGAGGAGATGGCGGAAGGCGTGCCCGCATCGGAGGACAGACCAAGCAAGACGTTTCCACCTGCATTGACATAGTCGAGCAGTATCTTGGGAGTCAGGGCTGGACCGTAGCCTGTTCATTCTCAGTATGAGTCGAAGCAAACCAGAGCTGCGGGCTGTGCTTGTTACCTTTCGACTTGGGAGGTGTGAGGAGTAAATGGTCATAAGCGAGTTGACCATGTCTGAAGAGTGAGAGATCATCGCTCCTGGGAGACTGGAAAGACAGTTTATAGTCACGCCCTGATTAATGAGATGAAATTAGTCGCCCACTCCTGCCAATCGAGGGGTTGAGGGAACATACCTTCTAAATCAGCCCAGAACTGCGAGTAGAGTCCTTTTTGCGATTCATCTTCGAGAACAACCAGGACTCTGTCTCCTACAGCGCTTTTGCCCAGCACGGCGCTCAGCAGCGGCAGGAGGAGAAGGCAGACTGAAGAAAAGAGCCGCATCTTGAGAGAAGACAAGATGGACCGACCGGGTTCCCGTGTTTAAGCAGGGATATTCATCGAGAGGTGAGTACGAGGTACTGTAGCTGCGCACAACTCCCCCAATGGGCTTTGCGTGCTGCGGAGACGTGGTCAATTAATCTTCTCCTCAGCCTTGTCTCAGCCTCGTCAAATGCTCCGCAGTAGATGCCAAGGCTGCGTTCGGGACTTCATCTGAGCTTCAACTCTCGCATTTCCCTCGCTCAGACAACTGCCAATTGAGCCCGACGCAGGGCAAAACGACGAGACCATCTGCGGTGACCATATCGGCTACTGCTCTCCTACGCGAGTCGCCTCCATCTTGAACCCGAATCGAGCTCGCAGAGCTAGACAAACCGATCTTGACAGCTCGACTCCTCCGAATCAACGAAAGCTTGTATCCTGTACACCCTCGTCACCAAGTTGTCCTACCCGATACAACCCTTCTCCTCCTTCGAGCACTCAAAGCCCTCATACATCCCCTCATAAAGCAACAATGTCCGGCATACCTCAACGCTTCTGGGGTCAACCCATTCGGTATCTGCGGTGGGCAGCCCATGAAAAGCCGGCAATATTCTGGAGCTGCGTGATCGGTGGCCTGGGACCTGCGACATTTGTCTTCATCCCGCCGCTGAGGAGATACTTTGGTGATCAGGATCCGCCGAGAATTCCACTGACTTATCCCGGTAAGCATACCGTCCACGAGATCTTTGTTCGCCGGGTATCAACTTTGATGTTGGCGTCTGGCCTGGGTTCCGTGCTCGGAAGAAGAGGGGCCGCAAAGAATCACACGATGGAGGAAATATCTGCCAGCTCTGGTTCGAGCGGCTCGTGATATTGGGTGATTCGCTGGTGGTCAGACTTGGACGTTTGAAAACACAAACGCACCACGCGGAACAGCACTGAGAGAACGAGATTTGCTGACATGTTTCTCTATCTAGTACCGAGCGGACCAAGAAAGATACCAGCTGGCTTCGACGACCCGGAATGAGAGAACCAGCCTACGGAGATATCGGGCGCTCAACACCTATCGCGCTGAATACGCGAATAGCAGAGAAAGCGATGATAGTTCAAGCATTGTACATAGCCGGCAGCACTGCACCAGTCAATTACGACCACACAACAGAACGTCTACCAAGTTGGCGCCTCGTTCAATCCTGTGTAGTGGTGTCCTAGCTGGGCCTTGTGGCGTCTACTTCATATGTTCTTATGCGCAAAGTCAAAATCCCGGGACATGATCCTACCTCAACCCTTCTTTGTTCATTCTGTGTGTTGTTGTGCACGAAGTACAAAATGTCAGGTCGTGATTCAGACTCACTCCATCTACGTCTATTCTATATGGCCTTGTGCGCGATGCGGAAATCCTGTATAGCGATCCAGGTATACCCTGTCCACGTCCATACTATGTGTCCTTGCACACGAAGTATAGAATCAGACGTCGCGATTTAGATGCACCCCAGCCGCGTCTATACTATTTTCACTTTGTGCGCGAAGCGCGGAATCTATGTCGCTGTTGAGGTATACCCTGTCCGCGTCAGGGTCTGTATAGGTTTTGAACGTGAAGTGTGTAGATGTCCCATTGTGCGCGAAATAGAGACTCCATGTCGCGAGCCAGGTGGACCCTGTCCGCGTCAAGGGTCTATATAGGTCTTGTACGCAAAGTAGGTAGGTATGCTGTTGTTCGTGAAGGAGAGACTCCATGTCACGATCTAGACCTGCCCCTTGTATACCCATATATATATATATATAGTATGTCATTGTGTGCGAAGTAGAGACACCGTTATACACAAAGTAGAATTCTATTGTGCGCGAAGGAGAAATCCTATGTCGCGGTCCAGGCTGACACCTGTCGCGTCCAGCTATCACACTATGGTGTATCTACTTCATGTCCGGGTTGCCGCCGCGATTTCCAAAAAAAAGTTCACAAGGCTGACGCGTGCATATCGCACCAAAGTTGATCACTCCTCCATCAAGTCAGGCGCAGCTTCTCTCACGAACATCTCATCTGAGGACTCTGCGTCCAAGTCGGAGTTGTTGGCGCTGTCGTAATCGGCAAGGCTAGCACGCTTCTTTGGTGTTGCACGAGCGCGAGCGTGATTGTCGTTGCGGCTCGTGCGTTTAGTACCGCTGTTGGCGTTAGCCCACATCTGCATCATCTTCTGTCCTTCTATGTCGTGGTCCAGCTCGTCTTCCACATCGTCGTCGACACCATGGTGCAAATGGTCTTCCATGTCGTCGTACATGCTTTGCAATGCATCGGTTGATTTCGCGGTCGAATCTGGGGTGTACCATGGCATATCCCCCTTTTCGATGGTTGCACATGTCAACCAGTAGATCTCATGCTGGTCTCTCTTCAAGTGGGTGCGTTCGACCATGAGATCCTCGACGAATCGCTTGATGTCTTCCTTGAGGACACCCATGTTCGCCTCGAGCACATGACACGCCTTGATACTCATCGGGAAATATTTATGGAACTCCTGAAAGTCCATGTGGTCGAGATAGGCTGGACCACCTTCGTGGAGTGAGGTGTAGAAGTTCAGGCCTCCGTCAGGTGCGCGTCGGGTGCGATCGTCAGAGATGTTTTGAGAGAACCACTGTCGGAAAAAGCAAACTGCCATCCACATGTAGATGTCGCTGGAGTATGAAGGTCGACCAGGTTTGTCGGCTGCAGTACGGCGCATAAACTCCGGGTAGTGACCTAGCATGCGCAGCTCAATGGCCTCTTTCACGAGAGCAAGTTCAGTTGCCTTGCGATCCAAGATGACACGGATATCTTCACTGATACGATTCTTCTCCTCTTCGGTGATGGATCCCCACTGGCCGATCAAATGGATAGCTGCTTCGCTGTAGATAGTAGGGGATTGAACGCGGCGACCAAGCTCAAGCCAGGCGTGTGGGTTACCCAAGATAGAAGTCCAAAGGACAGTGTCTTGACGCATCAACGCGAGGTCCACCACGTCGCGGACGTGTTCAAGTGAGCTCACAGATTCCGCACACTGAATGAGAGCAACGACACAGGAGAGCAGATTGGCCAAGCTGCTGTCATCGAAGACAGGGTCACGGTTGTAGAAGATGCCAAAGAGCCAATCCCATGCACGGTTGGAGTTGTCGGTCGCCTTTCCATTTTCGAAGTCTGGCATCAGAAGATTCATGCTGGGGCCTACAACCCGCCCAGACTCGTTGATCTCCTGTGGTACACTTCATCAGCCTCTGGTCTCTGGGGACATTTTCAATCTGAGGGGGACTTGTTTACCACACGGACGAATCCGCCAAACTCATTGTCCGCAACAGCCCGCTTGAATTCGAAACGGTACGCGGCCGCATTCTCGCGGCGAGCCTGTGCATTAAGGCGAGGTCCTGGCTTGGAGGCAATCTGCTCGGCGAAAAGAGAGGAATGAGTGGCGACAACTTGAGAGTGGAGCTTGTAGACTTGAGTTGGTGAGATGACGATGAGGACATCCCCATCCACAAACTTGGGAAAATCTGATTTGGCTGGAGATGTCATCTTGACAGCGGCAAGGGAACTGTCAGCGGTATCGCAAGGAGTGGTCGAGATGGTGGAAGAGGTGTACACCCTTTCAGGTAATGAAGGAGGAGGAGGAGGGAGGAAGTCGCTAGATAGAGGAGTGAAGGTGAAATGAAAGAAATTAGAAGCAGAGAGTTCTTCACAAGGATTGCCTCCCACGAGTGAATTGCATCCAGTAGTGACATGAGGTTCTGGCGAGGCAACACCGTCATGTGGTACGAGTGACAACTTCTCGATCAAGTGCACGCTGAGCATGTGAAATGAACGTGGCGTTCTCACAACGACCTCACCTGTGGCGTCTGCAACGATGAAATAGCAGCTACCACTGACCTCAATCCACGTTTCTTCGACGACGAGACCGAGTCTAGCAAAGGGGTATCCCATCGACGTACCCCGACATCCCATTCTCTCCTCGAACCTCAGCCACGGAACGGTGGATAGACCTGGACACGATGAGCAAGAGAGATGCAGTGAAGATGAGAACGACGGGTGCCATGCATCCAGGATCTCGATGAAGGCGGGACGAACAGCTACACGGATGGAAGACGACGTCAAAGACAAACAGGGTGCATGAGATGGATGCGGGCTGGGTAACCTCCAGGAACAGTTCACTCCTTGCAGTGTGGTCTGCTTTCAAGAGTTGGTCCCAGGAATGTCCTCTCAGGAGCAAGAGCGGGTTCAGGATACAAGTATATGGTGGCCGATTCAATCAAAAGGGCGAGCGTCGAGGTGTCAGAACGGACTGAGCCCGCAGAACCGAGAGTCAAGTCATTGTTTGAAACCACCAGGAATATCCGGGGGCGATGGTGAGATAGGGCCATCCAGGTCAACGAGAATCACGTCAGGAAGCAACAATACAAGTCATCCGGAGCAAAGCCTCAGTGAAGCGCCAGTGGTATAAGGTGTCGTTGCTATTAGTTGTTGTTCATCAGTCTCGATAGATCAAACAAAAACACCTTTCAAGATCCAAATATTCATCTCCAACACGCCTGTCCAAGGCCCGGTGCCACCATTTCCTGAATCGTAAGACCGGGTGTTTTGCCATGACGGTTATCAATCTTTGGGATAAAATCCATTTCCTGTAATTTTTCAATACGCCTCCAGAATCCATGGGGAAGGAAGGTGGACAGAAAAGCCCGACTCCAGTAAAGTGATGCGCTGATTGGTATCGCTCTGTAATCATAGACCGCGCAAACTGTGTTGCCCCTGAAACCTCCCAAGAGTTCGTGGCCTCATAAGCGCCGATGTAACAATCCGGTTGTATTCCCACGGCACAAGTCGTCATGTCAATCTGGGCATAACAAGAACAGTGCAATTGCAATCCAGGTGGCCTGGCTTGATCCAAGGCCTGCGGTATGGCCAGGCAAGAATGTAGGGGCTTTTGAAATCTGAATCCCGGCTTTTGGGGAGCTCCTGCTTGGGCATGACATTATCCAGGGACGTATGCTGTATGCAAAGGTCACAAGCAAGATGACGGTCATCTTCTGGTGGTACGTGTCTCTGGGTAGCCGGGGGGATACGGACCACCCATTAGGTCCCTCCCTCGCCCATCATAAGATGCGGATATCGACTGGGTGACAGACGGTGCTGTCCTTGCTGGGTATCCGACCGGGGGATAGCCAGCTGATGGTGCGGCTCGGCTAATGGCTGATGTTGGTGGCGTCGTATTGCCGCCATGCAAAGTCCTTGGTTCTCTTTCTACTCCGTAGTATGCCGGTTGGCCCGGAGGGTATCCTGACGGTTGAGAAGAAATGGCATATTGAGTATATCCAGGTTCCGGAGGATAGCCAGTAGTGACTGGAATGCGGCCAGTGGCCACTGGGCGAGGAGGTTCCAGGTCACGCTCACGTTCACGCTCACGCTCACGGGGTTCACGATGCCTGAGGGGCGCACGATAATCATCCTCGTCAAGGTCCATGTCTCCAGGTTGTGGGAAGCGCCTGCGGTCTTGGGTCCTTTCTTGCGAATCTGCCAAGTCGGCATAGGAACCTGCCCGAGCCTTAGACTCGATTGCTGGAGGTGTCGTACGGCCCATACCTCGGGTTTCACCCTGTCGTCGCCTTCGATCTTTTTCGCGTAGCCATCTCTCAGATTCATCGCGGAGGCTCTGCTCCATCGCCTAGCCGTGTGCGGTCAGTACGTGATTCTCTTGTCAGGGAGGGCACAAAGGGTAACCCGGAGTTCGTACCGTCGTAAGTGCGCGATATGCTCTAACCCAGTAGCCCGAACGTCCCTAACGATACTTGTTAGCAAACACACTTACCATGGAACGACCTGTTTTTGAGATAGCATACTCGATTATCGACGCCGGGACGACATGTGGCATCCTGGCCAAGGAATTTGCAAATTTCGTGTTGGATCACTTCTCGTTCGATCCCTTCTCCTGGGCACCAGAACTCGGAGAGTTGAAGTTGTGGCCTTGAGGGTTCATCCCTCATGGTTGCGTCCATTGGTATACGACGACTGGGAGGAACAGGATCAAGGTAATCACGGTCTTCACGGGGATATCTGCTCTGGGGCACTTGGCGGTACATCGTCGATATTCCAGTGGCGGGATCTGTATACATTCTTTCAGGTGGCTCGACACTACGGCTGTCCACGGTTCGTTCCGACCGGATGGGATCGATGCTCCTGGCAGTGTTGGCCCTTGTTGGGTCTCTTGCGATATCCATGCGCTCCATCCTGGGGTCCGGGCGGGCTTCCATACGGCGGTCAATACCAATGTCCATGACATCAGACATTGGAGTGTCTCTTTCTCTTCGTTCGGGGTGGTGGTCGTCTATTATCCTTCTTTCTCGGGCAGTAGGTTCAACACGCTCGCGGGGGTCACGCTCACGGTCTCGTTCTCTTCGACGAGGCTCGCCACCGCGGTAGTCTCGATCATCATAACGAGAGGACATGTTGGCGGCCGCGAATATAAATGGCCTCCGGGTGCGCAAGAGCGAAATCCCTGTTCCGTTGGGCAGCAACAAAGGCGGGATCAGACAAATGGGAAGGAAAGTGGCCAGGAGAACTGTTTTGAGGATAAGCGACGGGATTGCGTTGGTCAGGTTCCTTTGTGGGCTAAGACAACTCCTGGGTAATCAAAATCCACCGGGATAGACAAAGTCCAAGGAGTCCGTAGAGATTGAGATCCAATGGATGGGTATGGCCTGGGGGGGGAAAGGAGTGGGCGATGTGATTAATCGGACGGAGGAAATGGTGACGATAGAAAGGGACGGGATTTTGCTGGTTGACTGAGGTTTGAGAAAAGGGAAAGATAGAAGAGAAGGGGAGATGGGGGTGGGCGAGTTGTGTGCGCAGGCAGAACTGACACCAAGCGGCTTTTGGGCAGATGCCAGAAGGGCAGGATGTTGCACGGGCATGACGGGTAAGTGGCTCAAGCGAGGGACGGCCACCCAATCGTGGCGCGGGGCCGGCCCTTGTACAGCCGCCCAATCCAAATAAGCAGCTTGGGGGTACCCAAGTTACAGGTGTCCTTACTCGTAGACATGCCTCCTGCATCACCTAGGGAGGTACCTACGGGGTGTCCAGTAGCTATCTAGGCATGTAGGTTGGTGGTCGGGTAACGACAGCAGCCAGCTGATCCATGGTCCAGAGTGTACAAGGATGAAGACATAATGCCTCCGACACTCGTCGTCTCTTCCCTCATCTAGTCTGCGCGCACTGCTGCATCATAATCCAGATGGCAAAAGAGGAAAAAGCGAGCATCGAGTCAGCCCGACATCTGGCCAGGTCCTGAAAACGCGAGACGCAGTTGAAGTGGGATGATGATCATGATCATACTTGTAGTACTACATTCCGTCGATCAACAGGCACCAACTGCCAGTCTAGCAGAGAAGAGAAGGTGGCATTCTAGCCACCAAATAGAAATCTTCAAATGAACGAGATGTTTTCAATTCGCAGGCAAAACAACAGACAAAAACGCGTAGCCGACGGCTTATCAAAAGGACCTTGCAAGTCAGCAGTACATGGCTCGTACCTTTGGTATTCCCCAACTTACAGTACTTTCTCAGAAGGTGCGCAGGCAGACCTTTTGCGTTCCATCGGCTTCCAGAACGAGATAGGGGACAAAGAAGAGTTCTACTGAAGTTTCCTCGATGTCGTCTCATTCATCCTAGCCACTCCATCTTCTCTGACTCCCTTTGATGAGAGCATTAGCGACTTCCCAGGCTCATCGAATCAATCCAGTGTCCTTCGCTCGTTGGATTATCCACCTTTTGTAACCCTGCCATGGACCCCCGTGGTGGACATGGACAAGCGAGGCCCGCGCGTGGGAGGCTTGCAGATGCCCTTGGAGCTTACCGGTCTGTCGATTCCTTAGACGGGATTTTATCAGTGCAGATGACCCGAAAAAGCTCAGCCTAGTGACACCGGTGAGCTCAGACAACCCCCAAACATGCCAGCTGGGACTCGATATCCAACCAATGGTCTCCCGTTGGGCAGCAAGACAGACGGCGTCGCGTCTCCGTGCATGTCTGACCAGCCAAGAAAGGCCGCAATGAGCCTGCATGAGCCTGCAATTGGCCACCGCACATCTATCACGGGTTGGGCATCTACCGAGTCTTTTGCGCTGTTGCATGTGTGACATGTCACATTTTCTCCGAATTGCACAAAGCTTATTGACCATGAGGTGAGGAGACCAAGTGTCTCGATGCCCGACGTGCTCACCGTCTCAAGTGCATTCTAGTCCCATGTCGACGAGCCAACCGCCTCTTCCGTCGACCCTATCGAAAGATGTCGAGCGTCAGGAGGAAACTTGGGGATTTAAAAGCTAGGACGTTGGCAAACACCCCTTTTAGATCTATCGAAAGTTGGAATATCTACCGTGTCCCCCCGAAATACCACTTTTCAGACCAGTGAGGCATGAAGAAGGTTGAATTCAACATCCAGCTCCACAGAAGCAAACACGGAATAAGATGGAGAGAGCAGGGTCCGCCTCGCAAAGGGCCACTGAGACCTTTTTGACGGTTTGAGAGCCCAATTTCAAAATATTGTGACACATAGGTTGGCTTCCGCCTCAGGGGGGCTTTGGGTTGAGCGTGCCGATACGTGCGCTACTCGGGCGGCAAGACTGTCATATGCGTCGTTTGCTCAGGAATAGACAAGAGCAGTGGATTGTATTGCATCTGTGGAACGACTATCGTCTTCTCCATCACAGTTTCGACGCACCTCCACCAGTGACTGCTTTGATGCGGAACCCGGTCCGGGGGAAATGCAGGCGGACTTCCTTACCCTTGGCTTGGGTGCTCAGGACAACTTCATCCTCTGTCAACCCAACAAGGCGGCCGCGATCATGATGTTGGGTGCCTGAGTCAATTGGAAACACTTCCACCTCAGTCCCTTGCGGCAGACCGAGAGGATCTGCGGGGTCGACGCCCAAGTCCTTGTCCACGAAGGAAGCGTTGAGGATCCGCTCAGCCGCAGCGTCACCTTTCAAAGAGGCCGGTTTCGGCGCCTGGGCTTTGGCAACTTTGAGAGCATCATTGAACCTGGCAATCCACGCAAATACCTTGGGATATTTCTTGTCAGAGATCAACTCCCGGGGAAGAGCCCCTTTTAGTCCATTCAACCAATCAAAGGTCCAGATAGCTGCGGCCACTTGCATTAGCCAAATCGACATGGTATAGCGACCCTGCAAGCCTGCTAGGTGCATGCAGTGTACTTTTCACTTACCTTCAATGTCGGCCAGAGTCGGCTTTTCCGTCTTGAGTACCCAATTCCGCCCGTCAGCCAGCAAAGTGGTTTCGAGGAACTTAAATCCGCTTCTGATGGCTGCCAAAGCCTCCGGTCTATTCTCGGCAATGTGTTCCTTGCTCCATGGTCGGCCAGAATACTCTTCTCGGTCTTTGGTGAATTTGGGGTCGTTCAAAAGCGGCATGCTTGTCGGGATCAGCTGCGATGCCCGTGTGAAGAGCCCTCCCTCTATGCTCCAGATCTCCAGAAATTTCTCAATGGCCTTCTCTTCGCCGCTTGATGCACCCAGAGCGCCCTCTGGGAACAACTCTTCCAGTTTGCGAAGGATGATGCGACTGTCGCAGTAGACATCACGGCCGATGGTCATTACAGGGATTCTTCTGTACTTGACACCCAAGACACTGAGATCCGGTCGAGGCATGACCGGCGGTTGTTTCTACGCCCATCGTGAGTGAGCGCTCGCTCGGTCCAGGCAAAGAGGACTGTCAGATGGCGGATGATCACTTACACACTCAGCATAGTCCAAACCTCTGAGGCTGAGATACCACAGGATTCTCCTGGCAAATGGGGAGAATGAGTAGTGATATAGAACGAGTCCGTTGTTCGGACCGGCCATCTTCGCTCGACGGTCAGAAAATATCAGGGAACAAGAGGATTCGATTCGGTAGCTCAGCGATGATACTTCGAAGTACTAGACAAACTCGATTGCTTCAAGTATTATGTACCGCGAGGAAGCTGAGGTTAAGAAGTAGATGTCATTTTCAATCGATTCTGTCTCATCGCTGATTACGAGGTACAAAGCTCTTTGCCTCGGCAACTCGACGGACTGCGGGGAGACGCAGCCCATTATTGAGCCCGGAGAGGAAGCTAACTAAAATGTTGACGGAATCCACGCTAGAGAAGTCAACTCATGTTCACCATTACTGCTTCTTCGTCTATCGATACATTCATGCAAAGACAGAAATGGGAGTTCGATGCCCATCACTATAGATCAATCTGACATCTACGCAGCAATTTTACAAACATGCCAGAGACATCATCCACATCAGCGCAAGTTTCGTGACATCATCATCCCCGCTGTATGACGATAATGTTCGATCTCTGAGCTCAAAGGTGACCTTGATGAGCAATAAATTCTCTGGAAGAATCTGCCGTCTTGTGATTCTGAACTCCCTCAACTCACACTGTTGCTAGGTTTCTGAATTGCTAACTCGAAATCTCAACGTTAAACCGCGACCATTTCCAAATCCACCATGGCTCAATCCGGTCGAGATAGCGGTGGTGACCTCTTCGACATGGCACAGAAAGGCACCAAGGTTCCAGACGACGCAGCAGAGCCCAGATACATCCCTTCCAAAGCACGCCCAGACCAAATAGCCTCCAAAATAGACCCTAATGCCCTTGGTGGCCGGACACTTGCAGAGGCTGCGACCAACTCAGGTGACTTTTCTAGGGTGAGTCCCAGTTCAACATGACATTGACCATCGCTCAAGCTGACTGTCTTCAGACCACCAGAGACACTATCGCCAATGACATTCTGACTGGAACGGGAGACTCTCTTCCCTCCCAAGTTGATTCCAAACGACTGCATTCGGTGCCTGGCGGTGTCACTCACGATCCATTTGCCAAGGGCTCAACGAGGATGACGGAGCACAAAGTCCAGCCGTCAGACTTTGTGAAGGGTGCATCAGATGGCCCGCAAGTTGATCGAGCTCCGGGCCAGGAGGAATTAAGTGACGAGCAGGTGATGGATAATCTTGAGCGCAGAGGATAGAGAGGATTTGCCATAAAAATACATTGGATCCAGCATAGGATTCCAAGAAACATATACAGGGAATACTTCTCCACGCTTTTTCACAAGAGATATCCTCTCGGCCTTCAAGTCTCTTACTCTTACCTCCACCGTATATTGCCTCCAAAGCAGACCCTTCATTCAAACGTCTTGAATGCCGCATCGGGTTTCCTAAAGCAGCTATCAAAGACTCCCAGTCGTACCGGTGGGGGAGCGCAATAGGCGCTGATTTGCGCAGGCTGAGGTGCGAGGATATCCGAGCCTCCAATGAGGCATGTGCGGCGTGCTTCTCCGCATTTTGTTTGTTCCTGCCCCCCTGGTGCATCGCGCCCTTCATTTTCGACATGATGATCCAGTAATTAAAAACCTTCTTCCCCCTAGAATAACACCCTCCGACCTGGAACCTGGCTCCTATATTGTGAGGAGTGATTCAAGACTACAGGTTTTTTGGACTTCGCTCTTTCGCATCTTGCGTCAAGACGCGGGCCTGCTCGCACAGTCTTCCACCCCGCACCATTTACAGTTACACAGATCAACGTCCACATAGCTTGATTGCACACGAGCAATGGCGTCCTTCCTGCGTGCCTCGGCCGGGCTGCGCAGTGTCAGTCGTCTAGCAACCCCGGCCCGATCTCTCTTGAGACCAACACCTTTTCGAGCTTTGGCGACAAGTCCTGAGAAGCGTACAGCTACCGCCGTAGCCCAAGCTCACGTCGAGTCTCCTTCAATGGAAACAGCATTCTTTCCCGATGAGCCCGTTGGGCCGACGGTAGTCACGCCTATCCCGGGACCTCAGAGTCAAAAAGCCATTGCAGAGCTTCACAAAGTATTCGATACTCGCAGTCTCAACATGCTGGCAAACTACCAACAGAGTTACGCCAACTATATAGCTGATCCTGATGGAAACGTGCTGCTCGATGTGTATGCCCAGATTGCCTCCATCCCTGTCGGTTACAACAACCCTTCCCTACTGCTCGCCGCTACTAGCCCAGAGATGGCCTCCGCGATCATCAACCGACCCGCGTTAGGCAACTTTCCTTCGCACGACTGGGCCTCCATTCTCCAGACCGGTATTCTTCGGGTGGCGCCCAAGGGCCTGGACCAGGTCTTCACTGCGACGGCTGGTTCTGACGCCAACGAGACCGCCTTCAAAGCAGCCTTCATGTGGAAGCGACAACAAGAGCGTGGTGGTCGCGATGTTGAGTTCACTGCTGAAGAGATCGAGAGCACAATGAAGAATCAGAAGCCTGGTTCCCCTGATATGTCAATCATGTCATTCAAAACTGCCTTCCACGGCCGTCTATTTGGGACCCTATCGACCACGCGCAGCAAGCCTATCCACAAAATCGACATCCCAGCCTTTGACTGGCCTCAGTGCTCCTTCCCCTCTCTAAAGTACCCACTCGAACAATACGCGGAGGAAAATGCGGTGGAAGAAAAGAGATGCCTGGAAGAAGCTGAACATATCATCAAAACATACCACAATCCCGTGGCGGCTGTGATCGTAGAACCCATCCAGTCTGAAGGTGGCGACAACCACGCGAGTCCCGCCTTCTTCAGAGGTCTACGAGAAATCACCCGCCGCAACAATGTTCTCTTGATTGTCGACGAAGTGCAGACTGGTGTTGGTGCGACGGGTAAATTCTGGGCTCACGATCACTGGAACTTGGAAGATCCACCGGACATGGTGACATTCTCCAAGAAAGCACAGACGGCAGGATACTACTTTGGCAACCCAGACTTGCGACCGAACAAGCCCTATCGACAGTTCAACACATGGATGGGCGACCCGGCTCGTGCAATCCTTTTCCGGGCCATCATCAATGAAATTGAGAGATTGAATCTGGTGGAGAATACAGCGACGGTGGGTGACTACCTATACGCAGGCATTGAAAGCCTCGCTCAACAATATCCTCAACAATTCCAAAACCTCCGAGGGAAAGGGCAAGGCACTTTTATCGCCTTTGATAACCCCAAACGGGACGAATTCCTGGCCAAGGCAAAGACATTCGGTATCAACATTGGAGGCAGTGGTGCATCGGCCGTAAGGTTGAGGCCGATGTTGATATTCCAGAAGCACCATGCTGACATTCTGCTTGATGCTTTTGAGAAATTAGCCAAGTCTTTGTGAAGCGTGAAGGCGCAGAATTTGTATGGATTATGAATGAGTATGTCGCCCAGTGGCTTAACTTTGTAGCGTTTGGCGCAAATATGCGCAAATCTGTTGTGGGTGGTCCCAAATAGGGGAGGTATCGTAACGCATGAATAAAAAAGTCATTCCATCAATCCGTGTACCGTTCACTCGAAAGCCCTGTGAGGAGTGATGTTTCGGGTGGATCCGTCACTTCTGGTGTCACTGATCATCGGGGCCAAGGGATCTTGTAAACCATTCTTTGCAATCGACCTGGATTCTCTGCGCATCATGAAGCAGCCACACTGTCCTCCTCCATCGCACTTCCATCTCTTGGAACATATTTGATGCCATTGTCCTCCAGCGAATCGATAATTTCTCTCGGCAACGTTCCCACGACTTTGACCGCATATATTCCCGGCACGTAATCGGTCAGGCGCTGCCATCGGGCCACCCAGGAGGTCTTGGGGTCTCCCATGGCAATCAAGCCTTCGAAAACTTGGGAAGTGCATTCTTGGATCGCATCTTGAGAGTTTCGTAGGCCCAAGATCTCTTCGCAGTTGGGGCAACCGTTACGGTAGAAATCCTGCGGTTCCACGTCAATCGTTTGAAAAGGATAGGGAACATCAACGTCGCTGCTTACAGTGGCGGGTTGGACGATGGAGCAGACCATACAGGCGCGTGTCCGACTGCCGCGGCCGGCCATGATGAGGATTTGGGGAGTGGTGATGAATGCACTTGATGAGGAAGCAAAGATCAACTAACGCAGGGGTGCTACAAAGCGCAAAGACGAATTGTCCCAATTAAGGTTTCGGCTGATCTGCCGATAGCGCGGAGCTAAGCTGTCACTTAACGACCTCGAGGAGATCTGAGGCCCATTTTGGGGCCTGAGACAGCAGGTCTGGCGAGGTTCCGTCGTCTTCTCCGAAAGTTCTCGACTTTGCAGCCGGCCCGCGACAAAAAAAAAACGAGGCAAGTGAACACTCGACCACCCATTCCTCGACACGTTTCGCCCAAACCACCGGCATGATACGATAACACTCGTGGACCTATTCCCCCGCACCTGTCCTCTTGTATTTACTCGGCCGAATCAGCCCCAATCTCTTCGGCTATGGCCTCGACTCTCGCCGCAGACAAGGCCGCTGCAACCGCCCTCAAAGTCAAGGGCAATCAGGCCTTTGCGCAACATGACTGGCCCTCTGCTATCGACTATTACACCAAGGCGATAGAAAAGTACGACGCAGACCCGTCGTTCTATTGCAACCGAGCGCAGGCCAACATTAAGCTTGAAGCCTACGGCTATGCCATTGCTGACGCTACCAAAGCGATCGAACTTGACAAAGATTACATCAAGGTATGACTGTCAAACTATTAGTGCTCTGGGCCCCGGCCACTGACTTGTTTATATAGGCATATTGGAGACGAGCGGTTGCCAACACTGCCATTCTCAACTCTCAAGATGCCCTCCGAGATTTCAAGACAGTCTGCCGCAAGGAGCCCAACAACAAAGACGCAAGACTTAAACTGGCAGAGTGTGAGAAGTTGGTGAAGAAGATACAGTTCTTGAAGGCGATTGAAGTGGAAGATCCTCCGTCAGCATTCGAAGGACTGGACTTGGACTCAATAGAGGTGGATGAGAAATACGATGGTGTCAGGCTGGGGAACGAAATGACGCAGGAGTTTATCGATGATATGATCGAGCGATTCAAGAACGGCAAGAAGATCCACAAGAAATATGTATTTCAGATCATCAAGGCCGTGAGAGATATCGTGTACGACGAGCCCACCATGGTCGAAATGGACGTGGCTCCGGACACCAAACTCACGGTCTGCGGGGATACCCACGGCCAGTTTTTCGACTTGCTGGAGATCTTCCGGCTCAACGGCTTCCCGACGGACAGGCATGCCTACCTATTCAACGGCGACTTTGTGGACCGAGGATCATGGTCGACGGAGATCGCCCTACTCCTCTATGCCTACAAGTGGCTGCGACCTACCGCCTTCTTCTTGAATAGGGGCAACCACGAGACGGACGACATGAACCGAGTGTATGGTTTTGAAGGTGAATGCAAGGCCAAATACAATGAGAAGACATTCAAGCTGTTCTCTGAGTCGTTCTCGGCACTACCGTTGGCAACATTGATCGGGAAGAAATACCTTACACTCCATGGCGGGCTATTTTCGGACGATAAAGTTACGCTAGACGACATCCGCAAACTCGATCGCCACGTGCAGCGGCAGCCTGGCCAGTCTGGGCTTATGATGGAAATGCTCTGGACGGATCCTCAACCTCAAAATGGTAGAGGCCCTAGTAAGCGAGGAGTCGGGCTGCAGTTTGGCCCCGATGTGACGAAGAAATTCTGTGAAAACAACAACCTCGAGGCTGTGATTCGAAGCCACGAGGTGCGGATGGATGGCTACGAGGTTGAGCATGACGGAAAGTGCATCACTGGTATGTTTTCTGGAACAAGTCAACTGTGCTGGCCACTGACATATGTCCCTGTAGTCTTCTCTGCGCCCAAATACTGCGACACGACAGAGAACAAGGGAGCATACATCAACATCGGGCCTGACCTGAAGTTAGATTATCACCAGTTTGAAGCCGTCCCTCATCCTGATATCAAGCCCATGGTGAGTTGATTGACCAGTGCCCTAACATCCACAATTGGCATGCGACTGACAGAATCACAGGCGTATGCAACGAACTCATTAATGTCGATGATGTAGGCCATGTTTTTTGTTTGGTTCGCCACATTTGCATATCCCCAAGGTGGAGAACGAGTTAGGGTGTGGGGATCTACTGTAGACTCCAGGATACTGTGGTCCATGTGTCACTGCTCATGTATGTGTACCAGTATGAGGCTTGAACAGCGTGATCGAAATTCATAGCGGAAGGGCGCGGCGCTGGATATAAGGCTGCAGATACTAGCCGATGTCAAGTTTTTATTTGTTTTGTTTGATTCTTCCTGTCAAGGATCCAAGTGTCTGGGCAAGGCACAAACGTGGCACTGTGAGCGTCGGGAGTGTCAGCGTCGCGGTGTTGGATTATTCCTGCGGCTTATTTGTTTCTGTGGTTCCTGGCTTGCTGGGTGGTTCAGAGAGAAATGTGGCTGAGTTAGAAACTTGTTTGGGGGTGACTAGGAACCCGCTTGGGCTGATGGGCTCGCAGGCTTAACTAATTGCAAAAGTTCGGAGAGCACCAAATAAGTAAGTCTAGCTCATAGAAGGCGACTGGTGGCGGCTGCCACTCGCTAAGATTACCAGCATTGGCTTAACGAGAAGAAACCCCTGGTGGCCCCGGTGTCTTTGTCACACTGGTGGCGCCTGGTCGTCACGGGGGCCTGGTTGGCTACTACGTGCCTCTGAGAGCGTCTGGGGTGCCAGTGACCGTCCACCCGCCCTAACAAGTCACCGTGTCAATGGAAACCAGTCGTTATGCCCCCTCTCATTCGCCCCTGGAAACCCTTGAAACCCCCTGCATCAGTCCATGAAGTCCCCAGCACCACCAGCACCACCTACAGCCCATCCCCCTCCGTCATCGACAAAGGCCCAAAACATGATCGATTCGCGTCCCGGGATCGAGAAAGAAGGGGAAACATTGGGAACCCCCTTGCAAGCACGTCGTACTTGCATCACCCAAGCTACGGAACGGACTAGGGTGCCAGGGCTATGCATGCCCATCCGTCCATTCATCCACTCCTCCATCTCATCATCGCTGTCTCCGTCGCTATCGACGGATTCCTCTCTTCCTCTTCCCCCCTCCAACCCTCCCCGCTTTTTCCAACCTTCACTGGACCTTCACCATCTTGACCATCTCACCCATCACCCATCACTCTTTGAAAACATCTAGCATCCCTTCCCTTCCATCAGTATTTGCACGATTCTTGAAGAGCGACATTGCCCCGTTTGATACCAGAGTTGTCATTTCCTGTTCAATTTGCCCTCACTGTTGTTGACTGGTTCGTGCAGGCGCGTTCATGGTATTACTTGTTTATGATTGTTGCCTTGTTCTCAGCCTGACAAAGACACGGTTCCCTACTTTTCACTGTGTGTAACTGGCAAACATTGTTGCCTTGGGCCATCTCCTTCCGACACTGTGTCCAGGAGTATTTGGGAATCTTCAACAGTCCTGTATTTCTTCATGCTACCCTATCACACCAGCGACACCGCCATTCACTCACTGTGAGTCCAACCACCAACTTCCTCCGATAGACGAACCATGGAGCAAAGCTCTCACTTGCTTGTGGGGAGTCATTCGTGCCTCGCACCGCCTTCGAAATCGTCGTTTCGTTCAGGAGGAACCGGTGGTGAATCTTCCCGAAACACCTCCGATGAACAATTGCCCGACAACCGAAAGGAGACTGCCAGAGTCACCGTCACAGAGCGGAACCTGGCAGGCCAAATTCCCGAAATGATGAAGATGCAACATCAGACCTCTTTGATCTGGAAAGCGAAGCAACGTGCGTTTATATCGACCCTGTTGTCGGCGAACAAACCTCAGCAGGATCGAACCGTGGGCGGGGCGCAAAAGAGTGCCTTCCTCTCCATCTTACCTCGCGATCTGCATTTTCTCCTTGCCACTACCTACGTCGACTTTGACACTTTACTCGCTCTTCGACAAACATGTCACCTATTCTACGAGATGCTTCCGACCGAAGTCGTCCGCCGCGTTCGTTCCAAGTTGGTTAAGGAAAGCCTTGAGAATGAGGCGCAGCAGTATCGAGAGTACAGATCCATGTATCCAAGACAGCGACTTGGCCACCTATGGGATTTACTCTACGCTGCCTTCGACTTCCGGCTGATCGAGCGTCCTGCCAGAGAACTCCGATGCTACGGCTGCCTCGAGGAAAAACCTTTGTGGTGCTTTGTCGAGAGAATGAGCAACCGCGGCACCGGACTCGGAGCCAAATTCGCCCAAAATAGGCTATGTAAGGACTGCATGCGCCGATATCGCGACATCGAGGGAGAATGGTGGAGGGAGAATTGGGTCAAGAAGAGCGATACAGTCCGCAAGTCGAGCAAAGGTCGCAGACTTCGTCGGTGGATGCTTGAAGGCCAAAGTCTCGTTAATCCAGACGAGGAGGTTGGGGTCTGTTCCTCATGTGGCAGTTCGACCTTTGAGTTGTGGTGGGGTTGTGTTACATGCTTCGAACTCGAGGAGCAAAGACGGCGAGAGGAGGATCTGATGGAAATCGACGGCTTAGAACGGAGAATTGCCGAAGTCGTGGAGAACTGGCGAGGACGGAAGCGAATGACGCGAAGACGACGCCATGCGAGTCGCGATCGCAGGAGGAGGAAGTGGTGGGCTCCCAGCTTCACATTCGCAGGAGGCCTGTCAGAGCGAAAGGCTGCTTTGATTGAGTGGAAAGAGCACAAGGACAACAAGAAGACTGGCACCGGTACGGTCAAGGCCAGCCATCAAGAGTCCCGATGGCACGCTCTCGACGACATCCCCCTACCCAAGAGCCGCCGAGAAGCGAGATGCTCATCCTGTTGGGTGCCCAATTGTCCCCGGCGAACATACATTCTAGGTCTAGCGTACGAAAGACCTCTACCGAGGGAGCGTTGGTGTGCCGGGTGCAAACAAGAGTTTGACCAACGACTTGCCAGGAAAGGGTACCGGAAATGGAGACTGAAGATGACCAACAACGAAAAGTCAGATAACGACTGGCCCGAGTCGTTGGCCTGGCTGTTTGAAGAGAGCTGAGGGTTGGGGGAGAAACGACGACGATTACGCTACGCTACGATACGACGGAGATGAAAGGTGCTTTGAGGCGTTGGGTACAGCGAACTGTTCAGAATGTACCACAAATGAATAAATCTGGGTTGAGGCTTGACAGCTGACACAATACGTGTAGCAAATACGCCCGGGTCTTGGGGAGGCATGTCTGTCTTGACCTCCTTGACTGTGTCCAGTGAGCGGCTTTTTCTCACCTCAAGCCTGTGAGTGTGTCGCAACATGTGGAAGAAAGGGCAACTACTGTAAATTGACAGACAGACTAACTAAAGACTTCTCTCATCTTCTGTCTCGCGTCTGATCTGCTGAACCGGAAACGGGCCCCTTTTTTGCGTTGGTTTATTCTACGTCTTCACTCCTCCCTCCCTGCTCTCTTACTCCGACTTTTGATTCCGATGTCGACCCCGACCGCGGTTCCCGCCCATTCAACGCAGTCAGGCCACTCGAGCATGTCGAACAGGGAAACAGGCACCGGTCAACTCTTCTCAGCCGCAGCGACGGACCTTTGATCTGATCTCGGTCTGATTCGATCTCGACTCGACAGGACTAGGCAGTTCACATAACCCCCTTCTCCTTGAGATTCAGTATCATTGAACCAAGAGGAGGTGCGAGCAGCGAGCAGGAAGAGTGTGAGAGGAGGTGAGAGCATACTGAGAAAAAGGGAGGGAGGGAGGGAGGGAGAAGAGAGAGAGAGAGAGAGAGAGAGAGAGAGAGAAATGAAGGGGGTTAAGTAATTCTATCCCCGTCAATTATATGGCTCGGGCAAGTGTTTTGATAGTTAACTACCTCTTACTCTGCCCTTTTTCTTCCCTCTGTCGAGGGAGGTCGTAGGGATATGAACATCTGGTACAGTTCCCCTTTTTGATATGTAGACGCAACAAGGAAATAGGACCCATATCCCGTGCCAACAATCCAAACATAACGACGCAAACCAGCTTGATTTTTTGTTTGTAAATGTTCATTCGGCAATTTGGTCATACAGGCAACTTTTCCCCTTATCCAACCACACAGCGAGCTAGATGACCAAGTCGGCCATCCCACACCGGCAATAAACGCTGTGTTCAAGTTACAGCTTGTACATCTTGTACATCATATACACGTGCACCCCTTTTCGAGAGCGAATTGCTTGGGGGGAGGCTCAAGCCTTTGATGCGCTCTTCTCGACGGCATCCACAAACTCGACGGCTTCCTCAACCACTTCGTCCGTGATGCCCGGCAACGTGACATCGGGCAGGTATTTGCTATGGCTCTCCCTGTGCGTGGCGGGACCTTCCATGAAGCTGTGCATCTTCTGGGTAAGGTCGTCATTCAGGCCCGGGGCTCTGTTGCTGGAGAAGCGCATAAAGTCGTGCGCGGCGCGGGCTGCGTCGTCGGTCACGCCGCTGGACGAGCGGCGGATGGTGCCCGCCATGAAGTCGTGAGCCGACTTGGCCGCGTCGTCCGAGATACCGCTGCTCGAGCGACGGTGGGACGCACCCACGCCGCTCCCAGTGGTGGTTGTGGTGGTGGGAAGGGCTGTTGTCGGGGTTTCTTGCTTGTTTTCCATCGCGGCGGAGGTCGAGAGGTCAGTCATGAGCACTCAGAAAGGAGTTTCGAAGTAAGAGAGAGGTCTTCTGTAATGTCCCCCTACGAAGTCTGAAGTCATATTCTATCCCTCCCGAGAGCGAGGGGTCGCGTGCCTATCCTAGGGTCCAAGGGCGGGGTTGCGTTCAGAGCTCACGAGATGGCCGCGGGTTCGTGTTCGGAATTGGCAATAGAGCAACGCAGCCGTTGGTCAAGCACGAGATAATTCGCCGAGAGCTTGTGTCATCTCTCGATGGCCTGTGTGAGAACAAGAGGGTGGACTGATTTCCGGAAAAGCGTTTCCAATACGAAGGAGTCCTCTAGTGAGGCGATACAAATGATGGCGATGGAGCAGGATGCTGGTGTGGTCAAAAGTGTGCTTCAATGGATGATCGCAAGCCGCTCAGGGCTTCCACTCACCTGGATTGTATATTGACGATACAGACATTTACTCTCAGCGACGAGACGGGCTGTGACAAGACATGAGAAATGAAGCAAGAACTTGGAAAGGTGTAGGGAGGAGTTGTTAGGAGCAGCTAGAATGTTTCTGTCTGACAGGGAAGAACCGCCGAATATGGCACAGACATGACGGTCATTGCGGAATATGACAATGTCAGACAGGATCAATACTCCGATTGTCGCAGGTCCTCTCACACGACAAACTGCGCAGGAAACCACCAGTTCATTGCAAAGTCAAAATAAAAAAATTGTCGGCATTCCTCAGGAACTGCGTCGTCCTATAACGAGGAACAATGCCTCGTAAGTCGTCCACTCTTGAGGGTCCCCATCGCCAGTGTGAGCCATGAAATCGAGCGGGAACCAGGATGTGGATCGGACACACAGTAGGTCGCTCAGGACCTCCATGTTTTCAGAGATATAACATCCTGCAGAGTCCTTTTCTGTCATTTTCAGGGCTTTCAGACCAGAACACGTCCCCCTCCGACCATGGGCCACATTCTTTCATGTTTCCTAGATGCCAACCGCGGCGATGGCGCCAACACAAAATTCAACAGACGGCACTCGGTTTCCGACTCGGCTGCGTCTTTTGGATGCCAGGACGGACCTAAACAGGTCGGCAAGGGTCAGTGCGGAACCGTCTGGGCTCTAATGGACCTGGTTCTGAAGGCAAGCAACGAGGTGAGGCGAGATCAGCTCTGGAGGGACAGTTGTAACCACAGGAGGGCAGAAGGTGCAGTTCAACAGGCGCCCTGGGAATTCCGGCCAGATATCAACATACCTCGTTGGATTAGCTTGGTGCAACCTTCGGATGGGACGTTCTGGAGCGAGTTTGGCGGCTGGTTTCCTCAAGACTTCCAGCCAACATGTGGCGTTTTATCGACAAGAGTACACGGACTACCCGCACACGTCCGAGAGGCCATTGTTGACCTTTTCGCTCCTGAATCCATCAAAGCCATCAAAACGGATTTCCTGGCGAGCCCGGAGAACCAGGACTGCTTGATCCGCCTGTATTTGGGTCGAAGGGCTGAGCGATCAGCGTTTTCAGCCGCGTTTCGACTTCGCGACTTTGAGCTCAAGGTCAATGAAATGGAGTTTCTGCAACTTGATACAAGTACCTGGGCTAGAGCCATGGCTCAAACGCTTGCAGTCCTGCATTGGAGGGCGCAGATTGATGCCAATGGCGTTGAGTTCGTTTTGGGAAAGACACCACACGTCGAAGCTGAGCAGACAGCTATACGTTTGGAGAGCAGAAGCTGCAACCTTGCCAACGTCTCCAACATCATCCGGTTCGAGTGTCATCGACGAACAATAGGCATTTGGCTGCTGGATTTCAACCAGTGTCGCACATTCTCAGAGTCCCCAGCGGGCGTGAGGCAACTGCAAAGAGCCTTCTATCTCAGCGATCCATATTACCCTTCACCAGTTTCAACGCACCCCAACGACATGACCTTGTGGGATACCTTCAAGGCTGCTTATCTTGAAACCAGCGCATCCCTCACGGAAAGTGAAATGCCGGAACTGTTTATAGAGGCGGTTGAGGAAGAAGGCCAAAGACGTGGTGCTGAAGGATCTCTCCAGCAGTCTTGGTGACGGACTGGGGTTCGCCGCCCCCAAGAATCCTGAGCCACAGTCCGATGGAAGCGAGAATACCCCGTGGCACTGGCGGAAAAGATCCATAGGCCCCCAGCATCGTCCGGTTACACCCACTCGGACCATTCCGTTCGGGGATATTTGCCTTTGCAGGTGTTCATCTCGATCATTGAAAAATCGCCGTGCCTCCGGATGCCAACCTTTGGCCAAAATTGCTTTGTCCAGGCACTCAGGCGCCACATATGATGAATATTCTGAGTTATTGTTGGGGTGATCGACTTCCATTTTTGGATCCCCAATGAAATTAGATGCGGATCAAGAGCTATTAAATATGGCATTCTTATGGTGGCCGTCCGGCACCACGACCATAACGGCTTTTTCAAGCACTACTACCACCAACTACAAGGAAAGAATTCCCTAACCGAGCCAGTATGAGTATCGAGGTCTCCCTTTCTCCAAGCCAGTCCGGATGGCACTTCCCAGCCGACAAGCAGCTCGACTTTTTTACATCGAGTCTGCCTGTATCTGGATATTCAGCTCAAAACACCAAGGACGAACCCTCGATACCTGAGTTACCTCTGTTCGCCGAAGCTAGATCTCACGCTCTTGCAGACCCCCACAAGGTTGCCGTCGTCGACAAGACCAAAGACCAGAGCTTTACTTTTGTCCAACTCCTGAATGATGTCGCAGCCCTGAAAGCCCAGATTCAGCGGTATATCTCAGGCTACGACCCTGTCATTTCGACATTTGAAGAGCCTAGAGTCGCATTTCTTGTTCCCTCGGGATACGATTATGTTGTCACCCAGTGGGCAGTTTGGGCAGCTGGAGCTGTTTCAGTGCCGTTATGCACATCCCATCCGCTCAAAGAACTCCAGTATACGATTTCGGATTCCAACCCGTCTCTAATTATTGTGCATCCATCATTCCAGAAGTTTGAGGCTGGTCTGCAGGAACAGGCCTCTGGAATCCCGATCATGTCCCTCACACCGCACGTTCCAAGCTCGAAAAACTTTCCGTTTCTCCCTCGATTTTCTCCCAGTTTCCCATCATCTCGACGAGCACTAATCATTTACACATCGGGCACGACTTCAAGACCGAAAGGGTGCATCTCGACTCACGAAACCATCACCTTCCAAGCACGCAGCCTGGTTGAGGCTTGGAAATACAGCCGATCCGACCATTTGATCCATGTTCTTCCTCTCCACCACGTCCACGGCATAGTCAACGGCCTTACTGCCACATTGCTTGCTGGTGGGACGGTGGAAATGTATGCGAAGTTTGATGCGAAGACTGTTTGGAATCGGTGGTCTCAGAAAGGGTCGTCAACCATGTTTATGGCCGTTCCTACCGTGTATTCAAGGTTAATCGACTACTTTGATTCCAGCATACGTGGAACGACATCCGAGCCGGCTGCGCGAGAAGGTGTGCGTGCCCTCCGTCTGATCATTAGTGGGTCGGCTGCTCTGCCGGTGCCCACGAAGCGAAAGTTTGAGGAGATTTCTGGGCATGAGCTACTTGAGCGCTACGGCATGACTGAGATAGGCATGGCCTTGAGCTGCGGTTTGGAGAAGGAGAAGCGCATCGACGGCAGTGTGGGATGGCCGTTGCCGGGCGTGCAGGTTCGGCTGACGGACGAGAAGACCGGCCAGACCATTACGTCTTCGGGCAAGGATGAGTCAGGCCTGATTGAGATCCGCGGACCGAATGTGTTTACCGAGTATTTCCGGCGACCAGAGGCGACCGCTGAGTCGTTCACGGGAGACGGCTGGTTCAAGACGGGCGACGTTGCCAAGAGGGAGGAGAACGGCGCCTATTTCATTCTCGGGCGTGACAGTGTCGATATTATCAAGAGCGGCGGCTACAAGATCTCGGCGTTGGAGATTGAAAGAAAGATTCTGGGCAACGAGTACCTGAGCGGTCTTGTTGGTGAGGTGGTAGTTGTCGGCGTCGAGGACCAGGAATGGGGACAGCGAGTCGCGGCCGTCATCAAGCTGAAGGACTCGGTAAGTGGTTCTGTTTGTAGTGATCAGACGTGAATGCTAACAATTCGACCAGGCTGTCTCGACGGGACTCGACCTGGCAACACTGCGCAAACACTTGAAGGAAGACATGGCCGCTTACAAAGTACCCACGATCCTCAAACTTGTCGAGTCGATTGAACGGAACGCGATGGGCAAAGTCAACAAGAAGCAGATTCTGAAGCAATATTTCGGGCCACAAGAGTGAAGTCCTCGAGTCATTCCTGAGAGGCGATGTGTTTTGGGCAGACGTTCCATCTACGTACAAGAGAATAAGCCATGACTCGGCTGGGACTTTTAGATGGGAAGGTATAGGTATTGGCTGTTGGCTATTGGCTATTGGCTATCTAGAGATATTACGGATCTGTCTATGCATTTATGATACTGTCACAGGGAGGGAGGGAAGGGCTCATTTCCCTCGATAGAGGTTATTGATACACTGTACAGTAGAATAGACGTCTATCTGTATCAAGATTTCCCTCAAACCACCACCACCAACCCACAGCCCACAAAACCACCAGAAGAATCGTCTCCTGTCCTTTGAGAAACTCAACAAGAGTTGAATCAAGTCTCCCGTGTGTTTATCAAGATCGACATGGACTTGGAAAAAGGGCATGAACATGAAATGATAGTATAACCTCCCTCTCCTCGCTACGAGGTTTATATACTCGGTACATGAATCTCGACTGATCTGTCTGTCTGTCCGTCTGTCTGTGCACTGCCTTGCTTTGTTCTATTCTATCCTGAAGAAAAAAAAAGGGACAACTGCACAACTCTCCCATAGAACACGTGTAGGGTATAGTAAGTGTCACTATCACACCAAATATCGACCATCCACCATCCTCCTCGCCTTCCTCCTCCTGCCTCCCTCTCTAGTTAATCAAGCATGACGCGCTCCAAGAACTTCCACTCACTCCTCTCGCTGTCCCTCTCGCTCTCGCTCTCGCTCTCGCTCTCGCTCTCGCTCTCGCTCTCGCTCTGCCCATCCTCACCCTCTCCTCCCCATCCACCATCACCATGACGGTGATCCACCCACGGTCTCTCCACGCCCACCACCCCCGCCACCCTGTCCGCCAGGTCCACCGCCGCGCGCAACAACACCCCCGACGCGCCGAGGTTGACCGACCCAAAGAAATGGCCCTTGGCCTGCGGCCCGCACCCGTCGGCGAGGCAGCAGACAAACTCCAACAAACCCGTCGCGAGGTCGTCAATCACGGAAGCATCCGAGAGGAGTTCGCCGTAGATGCAGTGGATGGCGAAGTGGGTGAGGTCGCCGCCCGAGCAGCGCGACATGGCGGAGAGGACGCGCGGGGTGTGCTGTGCGTAGATTCTCGAGAAGAGGGCCATGCCGCGCGCGGATTTGGTGGCGGTGGTAGCAGTAGCAGTAGCGTCTCGCTGGGTTCCGTCCTCCGACTCGGTGGTGGCCGTGACAGCAGCGCGGAGTGACTGGTCTGTTTCCAGGACGGCCGAGACGGTCGGGTGTGTCTTCTCAATGGCCTGTTGGAGCGTGAGGAGGGCGTTGATGGCCTATATACACACCAAGGTCAGTTTTCTCGTTAAAAAAAAAAAATAAACATGTGTTTTCGTGGCCTCTGGTAAGACCGAGGAACCAGTAAAGTGACTTGACTTACCCTTGGAAACCCTACCAGCGTACTGGCCTTCAAACACGCCTCTCGAATCCGTCGAGCGACGGCGACCAATTCCTCCGTCTCCGTCTCCGCTGCGTGCGCGTCCTCCTGAGGAGATCCATTCCTCGTGCTGCTGCTGCTGCTGCTGCTGCTGCTGCTCAAATACCCCCACAACTCCCCAATCAGCTTTTCCTTGTGGAAGGCCAACAGGAGCGCAGTGGTCAGGATGTACCACAGGGACGAAGACGACGAAGACGACGAGCTTGTCGGGGAAGGTTCTGTCGTGGACACCTGGGAGAAGATATCTTCCAGGGCAGAAAAGTCGACTTTGCCCCGAGTGGGTGGCTTAACCGTGGCGACATCTGTCGCTGAGGGTGTCGAGGTGACAGAGACGGTCGTCATCGTCGACGACATGGAGCCTGGAGTATATGTGCCCTCGCCACTGGATAACGAGTCAATGCTCTCCTCGTCCTCCGATCTCGGCAACGAGGGGATGGATTGGAGGTATGTTTTCCTGGGCGGAGACGCCGTCCACGCGCGGGCAAAGATGGTGAAGCCTCTTGGTTGTGCCATGGCAAGGCTGCGAATGCTTCTTATCCAGGGCACACTAGAGAAAGGGAGTGGGGTGATTGGCGAGGTTGACAGAAGCGTGGTGTGGCAGTAGCAATCAGGTTATCAAGAAAAGAGAAAGGAAGAAGAAGATGTATAAAAATTATTTGGCTGATTTTATGTAGCTGGAATGGACTGTATCGTTCGACGCTGTTTGTATACTGCCTGGGACGCGACAGTGAGGGAGACTGATCAATACCGCGTGCTTATCAGGCTGAGCGGGGCAGAAATAAGGGGCCAGAGCCTTGGGGGAATCACAGTGTATATAGAATATGGGTCTCTTGACAGAAAGGCGCGGTATGTGCCGGTCATTTTAACAACGGCTTCGCGCTCTTATGCTTCGGAGCTGGAATTGTCGCCGTGACACCATGACAGAGGCGGGAAGAGCGACAATCGGGAGGCGAATCCAGGGTCGGCCAGGACTCGGAAAACGCTTCTGCTGTTCTTCCGCTGCACCGGATCGTATGAGGCACCAATGGGAGATTTTGTCTCGGCTGCCAGAACAATCCCCGAATCACGTGTGGCGATATCCATGGTGTCGGTCGTAGTATTGCAAGGATGAGCCCCAGGTCATGGTAGCAGGCTTCCTCCATGCAGATAGACACCTCCAGTGGGAAAACACCATGTGTTGTCAGATGGCCCAGGCTTCCACATCATCGTCCTCGTGGATAAAGGGCTCATCGACCTGCTTGATGCCCAAATCCCCGCACAGAACACATTGCTCCGCGACCAATCCGTCCAACTCGGCAACCAGCTTCTGTCGCTGCACGCCCACACTCAATCCCTGGTTGACTTCCGTCTGAAGGTCCTTGATCCGCTTTCTCTTACTGCTTCCCGAACTCTCAAGCACGCGCTTACCCAGGCAGTCGCTGTGGAAGGCGTGCTGGCAAGGAAACACAAAGAACTGCCGGCTCAAGACCGGCAGCGTGCAGATCCAACACCGCTCGCCAGCTTCCACAATGGCATAACGATGATCCAGTGCTGCAATCTCGGCTTTGATCTGCTCGGCCGTGTGTTGCGAGAGGTCCATTTCCTGCTTGAGGCTGTCAATGTGCCGCGAGTACTCCTCCAGTGCCTCACATATCTCCTCTTTGAAATCGTCAATCACCACGAAATCGGGGAAGAACGGAATAAGATCTTCGATCTTGAGCAGCTCGCATCTCTTGAGGAAACTGATTGCTTCTTTGATGGATGCAGCCTCCTTGATCTTCTTCTCGGCGATGAGCAGCCACAGTCTCTTTCTCACCTTGTCGTTACCCTCGAGACGATCCGCGACAATTGCCGCTAGATCAATGTCATCGTGCTGCAGTGCCAGCTCCACTGCTTGCTGGTATTGTCCCATGGTACTGTAGATGTGCACGCATGACTGGACCCGATTATGTTGAATACATAGCCTCAATGCAAAGTCGGCATCGTAAAATGGAGGGGAGGGTTGACTTTCAAGGTATCCCAACAGCATAGTTTCTGATGGCGACGGGTGTGAAGCCATGATCGAGATGAGCGCGTTGTGGACCGAAGCCGGCACCTCGAAGTTGTTGGTCACCACAAAGTTCAGGTAACGCACCGCCTGATTCTGGTTCAACGGCACGTCGGCATTCTCATTGTAGCTCAGAAGTGCGGGTATGAGCTTTTGCGGGTCGAGATTGCTCCGTCGCATGAGAATCTCTACCAGCCCAACTGCAACGTGTGTCATGAGCACATTGCTATACCGATAGAACGTCTCGGGACTGCTCTGTTTGTTAAGAACCGACAAGGCCTCGTGCCATTTCTCTCGCTGCACCCAGTACGAAAGAACGTAGTCGTAGTCGGTGATGGTGTTGGCAAAGAACAGAAGCTCCTCTTCTCTGTCGTGGCTCGAGATGACCTCGTACACCGTCTTCGCGTCCAGATCCGACTTGTACTTGGTCACAAATTCTTGGAACTCGCTTCGAGCCTTGTCCAAATCGCGCTGCGCACCTCCGGCGTCGGTGTGCTCGAGCAATTCTGCTTTCGTGGCGACCATATCGTCCAGCGAGTTCAATTTGGCCATAAAGATCTGCACCAGCCATGTTGCTATCATGACTCGCTGCATGATCGACGACTTCTTGTACGAGCCCAACTTGGCCAACAAGTATCGCCGCAGGGCTTCTTCTTGTCCATTGTCGATCAGGGACAGGCAGACTTCCTCGAATGCTTTGCTGCTCTTTCCCCACACGCTTGCTGCCTCCAAGTACTGCCCTTTGCTCGACAGGTAGTCTCCCGACGCAGTCGCCACAGAGTCCTTTTGTGCCGCTCCTTTGGCATAGCGAAGAGCCGAGTCGTAATCTTGTTGTTTCAGCATGATCTTCCAGATGTCTCGCTCCTCGTCGTGGGCCACCACCTCGAAGATTTCTTGGTTGGTGAAAAGCCAATATGTATTCTTCTTCTGGTCCGCCACCAAGCCAAGCGCCGACTGTCCAGGTTCCAGCACCGCCTGATCGTAGACAATGCTTCCGTCAAGGCGATTGACGGCAACAATGCGACCTTCAGCAAGGGCCAGGACGTGCCATTGAGAGAGAATGGCAGAGACAATGGGATCTTGTATCAGCTTTCGCCCTCCTCGCGCCGAGATCGTTTCTGGAAAGACAGATCGTGGGTGAAGTTTCGCCTCCCCAAAAATCTTGGAGCCTAAAGTGGACGATGTAGGTGAGGTGAGCAGCTTGCCTGTCAGGACACCCTGCGAATACAGCCAGGCAAAACTGCGATACGAGTCCGGGCCGGTATCTTGTGATTCGGGCGACACCGAAAAGGACGACGGCGCGGTGGCCGTGGCGCCGGTAGTGTCATGTGTGACGGGAGCTTCCTTGGAAAACAGTTCGGCGTAGATGGAAGCTGAGCCCTCCTTCCCCCGTCCACCCGTCTTGCCGATCCAGTGACAGAGTCTTGAATGCGACGCCACAATCACCCTGCGTAGGTCTGCCTTGGTGTCGATTGTCTCTGCCCAGAGGCCCGTGACGGCACCGTCGGGGATCTTCCAGACATGTGTGCAATATCGTTCTTCGCGGCGATAGAACTCGGACGCCGGCTCAATGTATATCTCGTAAACATTCCCGTCCACTGCGCCGACCAAGATCTCCCGTGTAGAGGCCGTCGGTTGTGAGGGGTTCCAAGCAATAGACTCGATGGACACGCCCTTTAGCCGGGACAGCGCCTTGGGCTGCTTGGACTGGCTGTGCAGGTAGAAGTTCTCCCCCAGGGTGGTGGTGATGATCAAATGGGACGCGGACGGGTCGAGGAACATGCGACGGATGAGGCCGACCTCGCTGGTCTTTTTGGGCAGGTCGACATCTAGCGCGCACGCAACGTTAGTAGAAGGATCTTTTGTCTCGGGACATTGAACGCAGCAACAAACACACACCATCAATGTCCGACGGACTCTCGAGGTCTATCCGCAAGATGCGCCCCGTGGCCAGTGCGAGGATCAGCACGTTGTTGGCGACCTGGCCGGCCACGAAGTCCGACGCAATGTTAAATTGCAGCTGCACTCGTTCGACATTGAAGATGGGAAGCGATGTCTCGATGCCGCCGCCCGAGCCCAAGCCGGGAGCCACATAGCCGTCGTCGAGATCCAGCGCCATTGCGCCGTGTCCAGGAGGAGGGTCAACGCATTATGACTCGGCAATGCGGTTCAGTGGTCAAGTCACTAGTTGGGAACAGGTCGTTGGTTTAGTCACAGCTATACTTGAAAGGGTACGAGGTGTCTACAAGTACGAGGTATGTGGGTGAGCTGCTCGTCGATCCCGCAGCCACGGCAAGGCTGCGTCCTCGGCTACACGTGACCTCAAGGCTCGGAAACAGAGCCTTGCCGAGGTTTGATTGCAATGGGTATGGGACAAACACGACAAACACGACAAACTATCTTCAGGTTATCTTCAGAGGAGTCGTACGGTGCGTGTGTGAATTATCTCTATATAGTCCTGCTTTGGTAATGAATCAGGATCATTAATCCCCAAACGCCATCGCTTGCTTTGCTGGTATGAATGAGAAGTCTGACTATTTTAACACATCAAATCATTTGATATTCCAAACTCATTAGTCTGTTTCGTTCCGAAATATCATCACGGACCCCTTTCAAACACTTCATTTAGCAGCAAACCTAGATCTGGCTCTCAAGTTTGCGCCAAATTTCCACAAGGTGAAGATGCCGATGATGCCGCCGACAGTCAACCCTGCGAGCAAGCTGACACCACTGCCGACACCCAAGTTTTGGAACAAGGGACGGGAGAAGTGGATGGCACCAGCCGCAATCGACGAGCGGGCAAAGTCGTTGCCCGCAAAAAGCGATGCGGCGTATTGGGGGTATGTCAAGGGGATGTAGATGAAAATACACTGGAAGAGGATGAAGATGCCGACAGTGAACACAACGACACCGAGCTGCAGATGACATCAGCAACTGCCCAATAGGGTGGGATGGGAAGACTTGAACTTACCGTGGGCACAATCCAGTGGATCTTTGGTGAGTTGTTCCCGGTCCATGCAAACCAGAACAGCCCAATCGGTAACAGCAGACTAGCCGGAAGAGCAGGGATGAGACGTCTCTCAGGTTCTCCGAGACCTCTGGTGCGAATTTCTGGCTCAAACACAAAGCGCAGATAGGTGACGTAGAGCGCAATTGCAATGCTGACACCGACCGAGATGGACAGGAAGATCAGACCAATCTCGCCCCCATTCATGCCGTAGCCGTGGGTGGCCTTGCCTGGGTTTCCGGTCGCGTACACGAGGGGGAAGACTTCGAAGAAAGAGTAGAAGATGCTGTACATCAGGGCGGTGTAGAGACTGGTGAAGAGCACGGCAGGGTCGAGAATATTGATCTGGGCCGGTCGCCAGAGATTACCAATCACCACCTCATTGACAGTCAGCTTCTCCTGGTCAATCTCGGACTGCGACTTGAGGTTGTTGTTGCCCGTCAATTTACGGAGACGCGCGGCGCGGCGTAGCAGGATGTTGGAGGCAGAAGTCTCTGGCAGCAGGAACAGGAGAGAGATGTAGACCGGAGAGGCCAGCCAGACAATCTCCCACAGAGACCAATGCCAGTTGGTCGCAGGCACCGAGAAACCGGAGATGATTGGCCCAAGAGCCGGGCCTGCGGTTTGTTAGCAAAATCACACACGATTACAGGTCCGTATAAACTTACCAGCGGTAGCGAATGCGGCCCAGCCAGTGAGGAAGTATGGCAGCTTCAGCAGCGAGTAGATGTCGCCAATGGAAGCACCACCGGTCGCCAAACAGGGACTACCGAAGAAGCCTTGCAGGAAACGCAGAACCACCAGCGCAGGGAAGCTGTTGACGACGGCAGTGGGGATGGAAAGAACGACGAAGATTCCCAGGGTGATCATATAAGGTGGATTGCGGCCAATGATTGGAATCTCCGAGAGAGGGCTGAAGATCAGAGGCCCGATGCCGTATCCCAGAACGTACATCGACAAACCCAGCGCCGCGACGTTTGGAGAGACACCCATTTTCTCGACAATGATGGGTTCAGACGGAGTGAATATGGCCGATCCCATGTATACGGCAAGTGTATAGAGGTAGATCTGTAGGACGACAATTGTCTTCTTGCCCCTGGACCAATTCTGGGGGTTCTCCGGGTCGTCGGTTGCATACCAATCGACCAGGATGGTGCCATCGGAGGTGACTTGAGGGGCGATGGGCCGACTTGCCTGGTTCTTTAGGGTCTCCTGTCGCGTGGCGTTGGAATAAGCTTGTTCGAGATCGGCGCGTGTGTTGACTTGGCTCAGCTCGGGTCGAGTCATGATTTTGGACAGGGTGCGATCTGACAGGGCAACCGACTCGCGATCTGCGGCTGTTCTGGTTGCGGTAAGGCTCTGGGCATCGTCCGAGTCGTCGTCGGCTTTCTTCTCGACATCTTCGGGCACGGAGGGGATTGGCTGTGGTTGGTGTGCTGGTGCACCAACCTTGTGGGATTGATAGGATTCAGGCAGCACAAAGTCGGATCTTTCCTCTAGATATTGGAAGTACTTGTTTCTTGTGACAAAACGAATCACCTGGCCCACAGGGGCGTCCCGCAACAGAGCGGACATGGTGAAGACTATGGAGAATGGTATGAAAACAGCCAAAGAAGCAAGAGGGCGTTGTGACAATGGGCTTTCGGGAAGGGAGTAGAAGGATGCTGTTCTTGTAGGAGCAGTGCAGAAGGGTCGATGATGAACAAGACGAAAAAGGCGACATGATGGGATGGTATGTATATTATAGATCTTACCCTTAGAGCCCTCCCATCCCATTGCAGCAGTAACAAGCATGTCACCGTGCAGACAGCCTTCTGAATCACTTCTCCCCAAGGCAAAGCCACGCACGGGCCAGAGATGGTCCGCAAACCCAGAACCTGAATAATCAATGAGGTAACCTTAAAAAGGAGAGGAGAGCCAAATGGAGACTGGGTATAAGCCAGAAGCTTCTCCGTGGAAGCCCATAATCCCCGTCCGTTTCTTGTCCATCGAGGACACCCACTGAGGCGAATGGGAAGCGAAGCAGACGGGAAAAAAAACCAGATACGCGCGTTATTTTCCCGACCGTCGGATTGGAAATTCGTACCTGGTTTCGACCGAAATCTTGGGGGACGAATAAGACAGAGCTGAAGATGATTGATTACCTATTGACGCAGAAGTGGCAGATATGGTGGAGTGGCCTCGATTGTGTGGCTGCTGACAAAGATAATGGAAGTCTTGGCTGTCGTCATTGCCGATAAAATCTCTGGGGTCCACTCCTGATGCTTGTTGTGCGCTATCAAGTACCAGTACCTACTCGGTAGTAGTAGTACGAGTATCTCACACTCTCCCGGTGTTTGGCGGACTTTTCGTCTCTCTCAGTTCTCTTGTCTTCCATTATCTCCATTATTGTTCTTACCTGATGTTTCACTCTCCTTGACGCCAGTCCGTCCGATGTCCGTCGTGGTAGCTATTTACATTTTGGTTGGATCTTGGCATCGAGGAAAGAATGCCACCAAGACGGCGGCACTGATCGCCAAATTCGGCTAGCTCCGTAGTCCTTGGGGTTTACACTTTGGCCGTCGCGCCTCGCGCTGCGCGCCGTCATACCACTACCACCATTACCACCACCATCTTCATTACCACCATTCATGTTTATCATCTCAGGGCTCATTATTGCTCTCCATGGAAGAAGATGACGCCTCTTTAACCTCGGAAGATTTGTATGTCCGTTTCCGGCCCATGCATTCTATACGAGACTTAACCCTCAGTGATCAAGATTTGGACAAAACTTGCCCCCTAAATCGACAGCGCGGTTGCCAGAAAGCAAAGTATGGCCTGGGAAAGCTCGATGTTCTTCCTCTCGAGATTCTCAACATGATTCTACTTGATCTGGATATACAGTCCTGCATGTCATTGCAACAGACCAACCGTCGGGCCTTTGACACCGTCCACGAAATGCCGCAGCTCAAAGCTATCATCCAACACTGCCCAGATATTTTGCGTAGAATTCTTCGTACTGAAATGGCGCCCTTCATTAGATACCAACAGCTATTCAACAAGATCACCTCCCCTACCTGTGAGACTTGCAACGACTTCGCCGGGTATCTATACCTTCTCACGTGTACTCGTGTCTGCTTCCTCTGCTTTTCTCGACTCCCCAACTATCTACCGATATTGAGATCTGAGGCTCGTGGTCAATTTGGTTTCTCTTTCCAATACTTAAAGCGCCTACCATGTTTGAAGAGCGCCCCTGGACGATACACAATCTGGAGAAAGAGCTGCCGTAGGCGGCTCATTCTCATCAATACAGAAACTGTTCAGCAGATCAGCACTGTCAGTCAGAGCTGCGCCTCCGCCGCAGAATCAGTACCCGCTGAGCCGGGCACAAGGGAACATACTCGAAGGAGAGCCCAAAGAGCGGAAGAAACGAGGTCACGGCGTCCGGAAGCCCCTCGTGATGCTCTAGCGTATAATCCGAGGAGGTTCATGGCAATTGTTGAAGTACCTTACCTCGACCTTCGAAACGGAATAGCACATTGGGGATTTCTTTGCTACGCTTGTCACAACGATTTCGGGGACCTCCGACACGCGAAACGCCAATTCCTGGCCGCTGGCTTTAGACAGCACATACGGCAGTGTGGAAAAGTTGTCAACGGCAAACATGTGGGCATAACAGGCGAGGTCGAGGACGGTTGACGAGTGAGTGTCGCTGGCGACGAAAACCACTGAGAAATTCGAGATCCCCAGACTTTAATCTAACGGCGACCGAGACACACATGTTCTTCTCCACTTCATCGAGTAAGATTTTGCCGAATACTGGATGTTATTGCACTCTTGTCCGTGGCGCGAGAGGAGGGGGGAGTGTACGTCTTCGCCGCTTGAACCGAACGATGATGATCCGAAGCAGATCTTGAATGTCACTTAAAGCGACTGGCAGATACATGGAGTCGATCTCCCCACCTTGCACACAGAACCTAGTCCGCCATCCCCATGCTTCTTTTCAACCAGATACAATGCTCATATCACTGATGCCAGAGTTGCCACATCGGAACGACTTCCTGAAGAAACAGGCAATGCTTAACGCCTTTCCTGGTTTCCCTCTCTCCGCGCACCATTAGGGTTGTTCTCGGTGCGGCGCATCTCGTCCTTGCCGGGCGTGACCATATGCCTGATACACATGTGTGTGGACGTTCTGAAGGTCCCCCGTGTGACAGGGCTACATCTGACGTTGGTGCTGTGGCGTTCTTCACACTGTTCGAACTCCTCTGACTTGCGGCAGCGGCAAGTATACTCTCTATATTCTTGCGTGCACATGATTCTGAGAAGCCGTGCGGCCGATGCCTGATTCACAATGTCAGTCAACGTCGAGGCCGATCAATGGTGGAAAAGAGCAAGAATTCGGAGCACAGAACAAGATTTCTTTTTACAGACGGATGCCATATTTTGATGGGTGCAATGTGACTTTTTGGTGGGGAGTGTCTCCTCGCAGCCGATATCCGATTGTTGGGTGCTGGTAATGGTGATGCTGACAGGAAGTGAGCAGAGACTTAACCTGGACAGGTGTCTGTTTTTATATAGCAAACCGTCTTCTGACTCATGATCAGATCGACAATGGGTGTTGGCCCAATAATGATGGGAATTGAAGCTGCCGGACTTTCTGACATTCCCAACTTTTTCATTTCAGCTTCGTGAAATGGCAACAAAACATGGTGGCGCGGTGTCGCTGTGTGACCACCAAGCAGCGCCTGTGTAACCATCCGAAAATTCTTCTTGCTTGGATGGTATTTTGTTGGGTACCCAAGAAGGCGTGATCGGTGCCTGGGACTTGGTAGAATTCCATTGTGTCACAGGCTCCTGCATGGGATATCACATACATATGTCGGTCAGTCAATCACACGCCAAGCTTCCCTGTCGCGCCTTCCCTTTATTTATGTACCTCGTTAAATTCCTACAAGTACAGCCAAGTATATTTTATTGCATCCTGATGACATGTGAAAGATACGAGGCTTACAATATCCCCGAGTGTCGTGTTGAGGTCGGTTGGGGAAGAAGTGCGAGGATCGATCAAGGCATCCTACGAGGCTACCACCATACCGATCGTACCTCGAGGATATAATATTTCTGTCACCACGAACCAAACACAACTTGCCAACCCCGACCATATTTCTTGACGTTGAAAATCTCACGGAGTTTGGGTTTGGTCCCCTTCATGGGCGTCTGCAATCGAATCCAAATCCTCAACCTCGAGGTAGACCCCGAGGATATGAGCGACTACCGAATCTTGGTCGACGGCAAGTCATTCAAATCTACGAACTCGAAGACATGACCTGGGACCGTCTGATAGTCCCGCAGCTGCCACCAATGCCCCCAGGCGACTGGAACACAGGGCATGTCGTAACGCACCTAGAGCAAGGCACCCCTTATTTTTCTCGCTATGCGAAGGTCGAGCTCCCGACCATCGTCAGTACATGGCATCCCGTGCGGATCGACTGGCTCGACCTGGAGGGAAGGCAACAACTTCGCAGCAATATCTATACTGCGACTCTAAAAAAGGACATTGGAGGAGTCAGAGCCGGACACGAAGTGCTCATCAAATTTGCCAGGTTTCCATAGGAAACGCAGTACTTTGAGGATGAAACAAAGGTTTATCAACGTCTTGACGGACGGGGAATCGCACCACAATTCCTGGGCCATTTGACAGAAGAAGAAAGAGTCATGGGCTTAGTGATCGAGTACATCAAAGACGCACGACACACGGGGCCAGAAGACGTGGACGTATGTCAAGATACTTTGGGGAACTTACACCGACTCGGCATGTTACACGGGGATGTGAACAGACACAATTTTCTCGTTCGCGAAGCCGGTGGTCGAGGCAAAACCGTTACAATGGTCGATCTCGAAACTGCCTCTGAATGTACCGACCCCGATGTGTTTGAGGATGAAATTGACCGTCTTCGCGAGGAGCTCCACTCGACTGATGGCAAGGGAGGGTATCATGTCGGAAATTGTCAATGAGGAAGACTAGTTTTGGCACGACAAGCGAAACAGATAGAGTATACACGGTCCATTTGGAGTCCCAGGCTGAGTGAGACTAGACTCGACAGCCAAGGGACAAGGCTCTGGTTTGTTGTAAGGTTCCGAGGACGAGTATAGAAAGTGTCAAAAGCAGCGTCGGCCAAGTCTGCCAGGATACCATTCTTTAAGCGCCAAGGCTGCCAATCTGCCCAGACTCTTAAGCCTGACCCTAAACCGCAGTTGTGCTCGGTCGGTTCATAGATTTCCCCCTGAGTACAGAGGTACTATGTTAGGAACGGCCTTTGTAGATAGGCAGAGGGTAGCGATAGGTGGCAGGTAGGTATAGGTATTCCTTAATAGTATATCTAAACTAAGACTCAAAGCATAAGGGAAGGGAAGCTTCCCTCAGGCGGTGAGCATGCGGTGCTTAAATCAGAAGGGGTTGTCACGTGCGTGGTGTACTTGGCGGTTCTTGACACCAGGGGTAGTTGCGATGACAGGGGATGGGTGGGCAAAGACCAACATTCCCGTGGATACCGCGGAACAGATTGCAAAGTTCTTCCAGTTAATGCGAGCCATTTTATCAACAACCCACCTCGAAATGAAGGCAGAACGCTGCTAACGTAAAGGCACGTCTTCAACTCCTCTTGGGCTTATGTGGTGAATGGGTGCCGGGAGCTGCAGGCTTCAAGTTACCAGGGTACGAGGCTAACAGCACAATGGAACTGTCATCACCACGACATTTTTAGACGCTACTTATTTCTTTGAGAAATTGAAAGGAGGGTGGAATTGCGGGAATGGTCTTCTGGAACCCGAGGTACCCCATGGGTTACTGGGGACGGCTTGGGAAACACCAAAGTTTGCAGAAGTTTCTATTTTCTATCATGGTGATCTCGTTCCGCCGCCGCGTCTGCGTCGAGACCTATCCCAGCGTTTGTACCAAGGTAAGGATCGTTGTACCAAGGTAAGGATCGTTGTACCAAGGTAAGGATCGTTGTACCAAGGTAAGGATCGTTGTTTCGCGATCTAGCTCTACCACGACGTACCTATGTCTATGGAGAGCTTCGTTGTGTCATCATCCGCAGCATTTGATGTCCAAGAGCACGAAGCAAGTCGGTCTTGCGGTGGTCATCGTTGAACGGTGCAGAGCCTGTCGAGTGCCCAGCTAACCGAAATTGGCTGAGGATGTGACCGGGACCGAATGGAATCGAAGTTTGACTGCGAAGTTTTAAAAACTTGGGGAATTGGTTGGTATCAGGTACTCATAGTTGATAGGTACGCTGGCGGCCCATCATCCCGCCTTGCCGCTTCCATGAGCAGGGCGAAGAATCAAGATGTCCTCCCCTCCTCCATGCCGCACCGGAAAATGCCAGAGGTTCCGCATCCAAGGCATACATCTGGTATAAAGGGGGTTTCAGTCCATTCTTTTGATATTCCTTATCCGGAACCTCAACGAGCTTTCATTGAACCGGCTTGTGGTTCACGTTTAGTTTTCGGTCAGGCGTTGTCTTACGATCAGGTTCACCATGGCCAACGCAGGCGTCAAGATCGGCAAATTGACTTTTTACAACATCCTGTTGGCCATTTTTGCATGTAGCGGAGGTTTTGCCTACGGATTCGCCTACCAAGCGCTCACAGCGAGCATCGGGCAGCCACAGTTCTACATTTATCTTGGCCTTGAACGTGAGTACAGTCTTTCTATGAGCTTGCGTCCCTCCAGATCGAGCTTTGTGTCTCACTGAATGATCCCTTTGGTCGCGCACAGGAGGCACCACCTACACGGCCAACATCTTGGGAGCCATAAATGGACTCTTCTTTGCGGGTGGGGCATTCGGCTCTGTGTCCCAGAGTTGGGTCGGCGACAAACTCGGCCGGAGGAAGGCGTTGATCATTGCCTCTGCGTTGGCCCTCATCGGCTCCAGTCTGGTGGCGGGCACCGTCCACGTCGTGATGTTGATTGTATTCCGGCTTGTCCAGGGATGGGGCACTGGCATGATTGTCACGCTGGCTCCGATCTACCTGGCCGAGATCTCTCCGCCTCAACATCGCGGTTTGTTGCTGGGCTCGTTCGCGACCAGTCTGGGAATTGGCATGAACGTGGTCGGATGGATCAGTCTGGGGACCTACTATGCCCAAAATCCGAGTGTGCAATGGCGACTGCCGCTGGCATTGGCCTGCATCGGTCCATTGGTCATGTTCGTTGGTTCATTTTTCATCCCAGAGTCGCCCCGGTGGCTGCTCTGGCAAGGCAAATCAGACCAGGCCTGGTCCATTCTCAAAAAACTGCACGAAGGGCCAACTCATAGTGACCAAGTTGAACAGACCGCCAACGCCGAGTTTATCCAGATCCAACGGCAGATCGACTACGACAAGACCATGGGGGTGACGTACTGGCAGATTGTCAAGCAGCCAAGCTATCGAAAACGGGCCTTGATTGTCATTGTGGCCATGTTCGCCTACCAAAGTACTGGCGCCTTCGGCATTGGTAATTACAAGATACTAATCTACGAGAATCTGGGCTTCCGTGGCTCGATGCCTCTCCTGCTGAATGCCTTGTACACATTTATTGGCACGTGTGGTGTTATGTTGGCCTCCATCTACGTTGACAAGACGGGTCGAAAAATCTTATTTCGTAAGTCACAATGAAACCCCGACCCTCCTTGGCCAATTGAGCGCGTTCTCGAGCTGACAGATATGGCTCCTGACACAGTTGTCGGCCTGCCTGCTATGGCTGCGGCGTTGCTGGCCGAAGCATTACTATCCCGAAGATACGTCGCCACCGACGACAAGGCCGGGAATGCCGCCTGTATCGTTGTTTTGTTTCTCTTTGTGTTTACCCTTGACCTGACCCTGGGCCCGTCAATTTTTATCTATGTGTCCGAGCTGTGGCCGACTCCGCTGCGAGCCAAGGGGTTGGCTATCGCATGGTTTACTTATTTTCTGGGTGCTATCACCTACACGTCATCCTCGGCGCTGGCCTTTGAGAAGATCGGGTGGAGGATGTATATGGTCTGGTTTACGTGCAACATTGTGAACTTCTTCATCGTGTGGTTTTACTTCCCGGAAACGACAAACAAGACGCTGGAGGAGATCAGTGAGCTTTTTGGTGACAAAGTCGTCGTCCGCATCACCGCCGATGGAAAGAACCTGGAGGGAGACAAGATCATCGAGATCAAGACGACCGGAGAGAAGGATGAGGGTGGTGATCATGTGCAGGTGGAAGTGATTGAGAACACCAAAGGGCGGGACTAGGTCCAAGGGGTCCGATCCGGAGGCCTTCTAGAATGAAGGGGAAAAGAGAAATTCTACTTCAGAGTTTCAGCGGACGAGGTATGTAGCAACTCACCTGCGCGACATGACTTCAATCCTTGTTCGATACGCGCGATATTCAAGGCCTTCGGCGGAGGCGACTCGCTACAAACCTCGTCGATCTTTCTCTGTCGTCGACAAGGTTATGAAACCAGTGCGAGTACATTCTGGGACATCGAATCATTCCATCGTCGAGTAGCTTCGGGGTCGGTCACCGAAGCAGGGGTCGCTTTTCTCTATTCTCAACTAGTTACTGAAGCTCTAATGGGCTCCTCTCAATCCCTAGTGCTCCTAAATGCTATAGACGGACCCGATGAGCCTAAACTCCATAGTGTGTCTGTCTCGTTGGCCTTGAGAAGATACGCCAATAGCAATGTCTATTTTCTTTACCACCAATTTAGCTACATATGTTGTTGCTCCACATTGTGTGCTGAGAAACTTCCACATTTTCAATAGGATGAGAACTGCGACAAGTAATAACCCGCTTTAACGTGCTCTACTCTGTCGTCGATGATGCAGCAGGGCTGGATGGGCTTCCTGACGGACGGATCAATATGTATTCAGGGTTCTGCTAGACTTTGAGCACACATGGACCAAACATACCGACATTTCCCGCTCCGCTGGCGGGAAGTGGAGCAGAATCTTGTGAACGGAAGGGGGGGGGGATGCTTGCCGGACGCGGCTAGAGCACAATGCCGCTTATGCCGCTTCTGCCGCTGGGATTATTCCCGCTCCATCGAAACAAGCTACCCGAGACGTTTCGAACCATTTCGTATCAATACATCTTGCCAATCAGCCCTGACAAGATCCAATAACCAGGAATCTTCTCGTCCCAGTCAATCTCCTCTTCGGTGGAAGTTTGGGACTATGGAACCAGTTAGTCTTTCGACGGCCAAACCCTGACTTGGCAGATAAGCAACCAGAGCGCGGCCGATCGGGCCGTTTGAGAGCTTACTGGATGTCCACTTACGGAGTGTGTCTAGTCAAGAAGGTTGCTGATTTGGCGGGCTATACTCAGCGGGGACTTGAGCCGACAGTTGAGCCGGCTGGAACAATAGCAACAGTTGTTAAAGAGAGAGCTATCGCGCCCTTCCGCCGTTCGGGGCCCCCCTCCTTCGGGTCCCCATAGGGATTAATACCAAAGTGTGATTGGGCATCCTGGTGGGCAAAGCAGCAATGGAAAATTTCGTCATCCCATGGCGTGGTCGACCCAACCAATCTCAGTCTGGCTGATCGAAATCGCTATTAACTGTAAACCAGCTCCCAAGAAGCGGGGACCCTGCGGGGAAGGGGGGTTTCGGGGGCGGTAACAACACTATTTGGACATTCATTACTTGCCTGATAATAAAGTCTTAGTAGTTCTGATGGCAAATCTTACCCAAGGGCCTGGGTCGCCCTCAATAGGTTTGGCCCGAACTAGCTAGTGGAGAGGCGGAATGTCGGGATTTGAAGATTGCGGGACGGCGGCATTGCGAGATGGCGGAAAGATGAAGTCGTCCATGAAACCTCATTGCTGACTCTCTCCCTCTCTTTTGTACCCCGAGGACCGAGATTGAATCACTGCAAGCTTGAGGAAAAGAGGCATGGAAAATGCGCACAAAATGCCGGAACGCCCAGAGCAGGTCCGGTCCCTCCGCATTTTCATGTGTTGGATTCGCGCCATCGGCCTCGTTCCTCTGTCCTCTTTCCCTGAAAATGGGCCTTGGACAGCGGAGTCGCCGGAGTCATCATCCCCATGGTTCAAATTCGGGAGGAATGCGTCCAGGTCATTAGACGGGCCCTCTACCCTCCTCTGGGCTAGCGAAGCTTCGGTCCCTTCCTTGCCTCCTTCGCCGACGTAGATCGATCTTTGGACGTCCAGGCGGTCCAAGGAACTGGCAATCCTACCCATGATCGAGACTGTGGCTGCCCGTCGAGCGAGCCGAGGAAATTCTGACCGTTGAGGGCGTGGCGGGATGTTTCGTGGGGCCCCTTTGACCTTCGTCAATCCATGGGTCTTCCCGGCGGGGATGGCGAAGAACCCGACTTTATCGTCTTTATCGAAGCCTTGGAGAAAGATCTTGAGAATCGGAAAACGTCATGGACTCGAGATTGGCACGGTTTCTGGGACCGAAGAAGCTGCAAAGCGAAAGAAGGAAATGGGGTTCAGCTTTCTGTTAGCGGGTTCAGACCGCAGGGTTTCTTGCCAGTGGCTGCCAGAGTGTCTTTCAACAGTGTAGCAAAGGAGTGTTTTCGGCAAAGATTTGAATATTTCGAGTATCAAGGACGAAAAAAAAAGAGGAAAGGTAATTTAGCTTTGAAGAATAAGATTTCCATCCGAGTATACCATTATAACATCTACAACATCGGGTGGCCTCCGAATCGAATTCCACGATCTATGCGTTGCCTTCTCCTTGTCAAACTGCCCTTCAATTTGACATAATCACATTGTCGGCCACCGTGGTTGCTAAGGTAGATACCGTCGACCCCTAGGTAGGTAGGTAGGTAGGTAGGTAGGTAGGTAGGTAGGTAGGTAGGTAGGTAGGTAGTTAGGTAGGTACGAGGGTGCTTGCTTGGCTCATTGGCCGTTAGTCCATGGGTGAGACAACGGGGATAAAATATACAAACGCAAACGAAAAAAAAACCCACAAAACACAAATACTCGGCGAATCGGCGCACACATGGAGAATACCAAATGTCCAGTAACCCAATACCCAAAATCAAATACCTAGGTACACAACACACAATCGCCGCAAGCAGCCCTGTCCGTCTGTCTGACTGTCTGTCGACATAACTCCCCCAACACGTAGTTTTTTTTTCCCCCGGGGTATATGTTACGTGCGTTTCAATCATCAACAAGAACCCTTGCGCCCCATTTCATCCCCTTTGTTTGTTTTTGTTTTTGTTTTGTTTTGTTTTGTTTTGTTTTGTTTTGTTCTTTCGCTTTTTTCGCTCCTTGTTCAACACAGACGAGTCAAACTCCCTCTCGACACCAACACCGTGATCGTTCCCTCCCTACCAACCCGGCCCAATAATACAAAGAGACATGAGACAGTGACTCGACATCTGCGTCACAGCCGTTTCCTCGTGTTGAAACTCCTGCCAAATGTGGAATACACAATCCATTGTCTGTTGTGGCTGGACGTAACGTCAAATCCCATCCTGAGCTTGAGCTTGGGCTTGTGTCTGGCTGTGCGCCAACTGCGCCTTCTGATTCTCCTTGGCCAGCGTCCTGGCGAAGAGCGTCTGGGGCTTTGCATTCCTATTCGAGTTGCGACGTCGCGGACAGGTTAGCCAGTGCCACAAAACAAAAAGTTGTGAGGGAGAGAGAGAGGGATGGAGGAACCAAAACGCACATGAACCGCCTCCCCTTGATCTCACTCAGCTTCTTGGTCGTGGGACTCCGGATCGCGTCCGAGGGCGAAATGTAAGTCTGTGTACCGGCACCACAGGTGGGCTGGTTCTGGGTCTGGATCTGGTGTCGCTGCTGCTGTTGTTGTGGCACCTCAAAGCGCGGCATGTGAATCCCTCCTTTCCCGGCGTCCGCGAAAGCGCCCTTGAACTTGTCATTGCCCGTCATGTCCTGCGCGGCCGTCTTCGTGGGCGAAGTCGGATTGGGACATTTCTCGGCGAGAGGGCCCTGGGTGGCTTTTGTGGGAGACATTTGGGCTTTTGATAAACCGTTTCTTTTTATCTTGTGAGTTGATTTGGTTGCGAGGTTCGCTGGCGATTATTTTTCGACCGACGTAAGGATGCAAAAGGGTCTGGTGAGGTGTGCAGGTTGGAAAAGAGTCCAGTGAAAGTATTCGATTCTCGTTCAAATCAGTCAATCAGTTGGTGGTTACTTGGCACCTAATAATAGGCAGTGAGTGAGTGAGCACTGTAGGTATTTACAGGTCCAACCAATGACGTCAATGAGCCCAAAGCAATGGTTGGCAGGGCAACGACACCCGCCGCACAAAGCAATATTTCCGAGGTTCGCCCATGTTTGTACGAATTGTGAGGAATAACACAAGCACTACAGTAGCAGTGCAAAATATCCGGTACACGCGAGAACAGATCTTTGTTGGGTCACTTGTCCTAGCCCAGTTACACTCAACAAGACCAATATTGATTTTCTTTAATTCCAGAAATCCACAACGACTGTATATACAGTCAGATACCTAGGTAGGTAGGCTTTTCTCTGGCCTTGAACAGATCCCCATGCACCGGCACTCCTGGTTGATTGACCAAATGCCCAAAACCATACACCAAGCGCCTGACCAATCCAAGATATCCCCGGTGAGCTCTAGAGATCGAAGCTTATCCCATCATGAATGATCCACCACCCTACTTTTGAGGCTTTAATGCAACTTCGTATAAAAACAAAACCCTTTTTCCCAGCCTATTGAGACGTATCCGCCTGTTTGATGCTTCCTTCCATCTGTACATGATTCACGGGTACCCATGTATTTCCCCTTTTTTTTTCAAGTCGTTGATCGTCCCGAGGAATGACCAGTCTGATTGATAGCCATATATTCTCCAGTCTGTATATCGATGTATATCGAGGTGGGTTGCTCTTTGATATCGCTGTAATTTAACCTCCCTTGCTGTAAGACAAGTCGATGCCGCCGCTCGCTCAAATTCTGTGAGAAGCCCTCGTTGTGAAGGCCCGAATATCGTCGTTGATAGGATCGTACTTTCCGTCTAATGCTGTTTGTAGCTCATCGAGATGGGCGCCAGTGCTCTAGTCCACAACGGCAGACTCGGCGTCATCCTCGTCCTCGTCCTTCTGGTACATGAAAAACTGTACAAAGATGGCCATATCCAACAACAGCGTACCCAAGCTCCCCGCGATCCAGCTCGCGTTCACGGCGATATATCTCAAATAAATGGCCTTTGCTTCCCCCGGCCGACAATGATCGGGCTGCGCGCAGACGGGTGAATAGGCAAAGATGGACATGTCGTAGGTCAAATTGCCGATGCACGCAAAGAGAAAGAAAAGCAGTGACACGCCTTCAGTGCTCTTGCGCTTGTAGTTGAGCAGGAGTTGCGGCACGCGGGAGCCCAGATAGAGCACGGCGCAGAGATAACCAAAGATCTGGCCCAGAACATCAAACTCCAAGGGCTCCGAGGGTGGTGACTCGTCTTTGTGGTGGTGCTGCTGCTTTTGCGCCCCAATCCACCAACCAAACACCCCAGCGGCACAGACGAGCAGGATGGCAAAGGTGTTGAGCACCACCGCCTGCCACGCGCTGGTTGGTCGCAAGTTCCTGGCAGCCGGGGGATCAGTCGGCTTCGGTGGGTCAATGAGCGGCGTGACGGGGGACAGATGGGCGGCTTCGACGGACAAATGGTGTCGGAGATGCGAGATGGACGACGACCGCTCATGCTCGTCGCGCGACGGCGGCTGGGTCACCGAACCACTGTGCAGCAGCGGGCGTGTCTCGGCATCCCCATTTTGAGCGTGATGCGCAGGTTTCACGTAGTCGGTGAGGGTGAAGCCGCGGTAATAGAAGCACTGGCCCAGCAGGACGATGTCGGCCAGGGTGTAGTAGACGGCGAGGATGATCATGGTGGGCAGCACGCCCTGCAGGACGGCGCCGAGGATATTGAAGACATCGCCGGCCAGCCAGACGACGATGAAGACGATCGACAGGCCCTCGGCCGACCCGCGGCGGAAGTTTTCGATGATTTGGGGAGAGAAGACGACGACCCAGCAGGCGATGGAGATGGAGCCACAGATGCCGGAGAGAGCTTGGATGTCGAGGGTGACGCCTTGTTGGGGCGGGAACATGATTATAGAAATCAGGAGACGATATAGACAAGGACAGACAATAACCAAAAAGGACAAGGAGATGTAACAGAAATGTATGGACAAGCAACTATGACGACGGATGAAGAATGAGATTTGTAGAGGATGACGACGGAGATGAGGATGAAGATGAAATGATGGAAGAAACAAGGATGGATGAAGAAAGGCGGAAGAACAAGAGCTGGAGAAATGACGCGGGGGAAATCTCTGCCTGTTGCTGTCAAAAGTGACTTTTTTCTTGGTTCTTGACCGAATGAGCGAGTATTTTGTATGTAATAATTAATGGAATTTAGCAAGAGGCAAGAAATCTGAATCCGGGGTAAAAAGAAGGAATGAAAAATAGATTTGGATCTAGGCTCGAATGGGCAATTATTCGCGTGTCCCTGATGCAGGTACGACCATCACCATAAGATAAGGAAGGCACGTTCCACTCGTATACAAGTATACTCGGTGTTAGACACTAGACACTATAAGTAGACACACGATAGACAGTCACGACAGTTCATGTGCCGCATATGGCTAATGTATGCATTTGAAAGACATTACCCGTCCTCAACGATCTATATAGGTATGTAGGTGTAGACCATATACTCATATGCTTTTAATCCCCCCGTCCATGGCAACTAAATCAACATCATGGCGCGCCTTTCGTGCCAAAATGCAATAGACATGAGCACAGACGCCACCCTACCAACATCCTGCCATCCAGAATAGTCATAATTTACCAGCTCAAGGCCCCTGATCATTACTTCCTTTTGCCCGCGCATCCAAATAATGCCATGAAACCCCCTCCTCCACTGCCTCCACTTCCACCACCACCCTCTCCTCCCCCTCCCGCCCCCTGACTGGCTTTCTCTTGATCTATCGTAGGCCCTGCTCCCTCCTTGTCGCCCAACTCGATACTGCTCAGGTCTTTGGTGTTTTCCAGCCACTGCAGATCCTGCTGTATGTTGATCCCCAGACCCGCCTCGATGCTGGTCCCCGGCTTTGCGAGCCACTCTTTGAGCTCCCGCGTCGTCGACTCGCTAGCCTTGTTGGCTTGCATTTTGCTCCACGTCGTGAATAGGTGATCTGCTGCAAGTTAGCCCCAAGTCCGCTATACCGAGCAAGAGGTGCTCGAGGGTAGTGTCATCATCTTACCGTACTCTGCAACCACTTTCCGCAGCTCTCGCAGAATCCGCGTCTTCTGAGTCATCTTTTCCGACGCATTTCCAGGCGAGTTGGGGTTTTCCACCTTCAAGAGCTCCTTCTCCAGCTGCGAGATCTCGTCTTGCAGGCACAGGAGCAGTCTCACGTGCACGGCATCAAACCGTCGGCATATGATGGTGTTCTTCTCCGTCATGAACGACGCCATCTCGCTGTGTTCAGATGGTCGGAATGAGGAAGCCATCGTTGAAGGCACCGGTTCATCAATGGGAGCCTGTGGCGCCCGCTGCGAATTCCCTTCACGCGTCGAAGGTCTCCGAATCTGTGCGCCAGGAGGTAATTGAGGGAGGGGCGTGGTTGGTGCCGGCGTCGGCAACTGGGAATCGTAGATGGTGGATCTCGGTGTGGTCGCCCGCGAGTCGGTCGATTTTCTCGACTTGTTGCGAACCGAGGGCGGTCTGGGGATGACCTCGGCGTCGTCCGAGCTCGAATTGCGCTGTGATCGTAGCGACACGTTGGATGGGTGGGAATGAAGGGCTCTTTGTCGTCGTTCAGAGGCAGTAGATTTGGCAGGTTGTAGCTTTTGCGGGAGCTCAGCTGACCGCGGCGCCTCGGGAGGGGGCGGCAGCTTGGGTGATGGTAAAGGTTGAGGTATGGGAGTGGTCGTCGGCAGCGTTGGTCCTATTCGAGGGGATTCATGCGGTGTCTGAGGTAGACTGGGAACCAACGGCAGCCCAGCGTTCACCGCCACCGAGGCCACATGTTTTCGGTTGTACTTGGACGTCGGTGGGAGGACGGTACTCTTCTTGGTCATTGTCGAAACCATGGACGACCGTGTAGAGTTATTCATCATGAACTCGCCGACCGGTTCTGGCGGGGGTGGTAGATAACCCAACTCCTGCTCCTCCATCATACTGGAAATTTCGTGTTCTTCGCTGTGCGACGAGCTGCCCATCTCTCCGGCACTCTCAGTGTGCACCGATATCTTCTCTTCGCTCGACGCCGCTGTGGTGGACGTAGTCTGCCGATTGTGTCCCTTTGTGCCATCCTGAGACGATTGAACGGGTCCTCCAATGCTGGGTAGTGGTTCGATACTGTCCTGCGGGCTTTGCGACCTCGAATCTGAACCCGACGCAACGCTCTCGGGAGCAAGCGAACTCTTGGAGTAGGTATGAGAGACTGCCGGGCGTGGCTTGGGAGAGTTTGCCTGAGCCGGGAAAAGGGAGAAGGACGCAGACGGAAGCTGGTAAGTTGATACCTCCTTCTCGGTCGGCGACAAGGGCGGTTTATAGGCGGCACTGTCCAGCACAGGAATCCAATTCGGGTCGTGAATGTCGACGGGCGGTATTGAGGTGTTGTAGTATGACCGCCGTCCAGTGGGAAGTTCTACCGGTGCAATCGCAGCGGCCATGGTGTGCAGACGTCTATATCTGCCCCCTCTTCAGTGTTGCAAAGTAAACAGCTCAGAGAACCCCAATAATCCTGTAGTAGTAAATAGGCTTGACCACGCATCTGGCACTTTTTGATAAAGGACGCGGAAAAGAAAATACTGAGTTAGTTACAAACGAAGTATCCGGCACAGGAGCGAAGACTCGCAAGTTCGCGGTTCAGCGGTTTAGCGAGCGAGGGAAGCAGAATTTCTCACTCGGAAATGATTGTCCCAACGACGCGGGAGGGGGTGCACGATAGCTTGAACATGATGGCCGTTTAAGCCTTGGATCGTTAGTTAGCAACTGAGTACTTGGAATTCCCAAAAGGTAGATACTAGATAGAACCATGCCATATTGGCTCTGAGGCTAGCATCCAGCCGTATCCACCATGCGTCACTTCCATGACGCCGGGCTCAAGCCACAGGGGGGCGGGATCCAGGGACAAAGGACGCCAGGTTAACGGGAGATCAGAGCGAAAGTAGGTTTTAGACTGATATAGGAAAAGCGTGCGAGATGAGTGTTGGGGCGAGAAAGGGAGGAGGAATCAAGGGAGGATGAGATACTCGAAAGGGAAGACGTAGCCTCATCCAGCCTGGTGATGCACTCATCAGCCACAAAAGATTGATACGGTGTACATAAGAATCTTAATCCTCATCAGATGCACCAGAGTCATAAAACTCCACCAAGCTGAGTTTCTCCTCAATGCCATTATTTATTTGCAAATCCATCTGAAAATCCTCTTGCCGGGCATCCGTTCGGGTGCGGTACCTTCGACTAAACCTGTTTCAGGCCCATGATTGCATGGGCAGGCCCTTGAAGACCAAAGGGAAATAAACCATGTCGCAGATCCTAGACAAGGAAACAAGCGATATTAATATTATTGTGCTGACGAGGCTTGAGGGTTTTGTAAACAGAGGAAGAGACAGAGGGAGATTTGCTCTCGTGGGATTTTCAGGTGGTCGATAGGATTGCGATTAATTACTGGGAGAAGATGTCCATGTTCAGCAGGATGGATTGACCATAATATACCAAGTACCGAGTCCTCCTCCTCGTACTGCCACCGACCGTTGTAAATCTGGGACCCCAGAGAGCAAGGCGACTAGGTACCACCGACACGGTGTTAAACGCCTCCAAAGGATCTTCTTGTCTGTTTCCCGATTCCGCGTCCCACATAAACAATCAACAAATATTGGCGCGTCTCCTTCCAATTCCCCTGGTCCCGCTACTAGTAAAACGGCGTTGGGGGCTAAGGCTGGTGGGCTAGCCGCAGGCTCGCAGGCAGTGATCACTGATCACCTCTGTGTTCGGTGCGCCGTAGGTATGAGGAGCTAGTTGAGGGCAGCGAGGCTAAGACCGGCAAAGAGGGAGTGATAACAATAGTAATACTCCGTAGATGTTCATGGCTAGCACTGTACGAGTTCTTGCTTGTCCTCGTAGGCGAAATGCGAAGTGCAATCTTAGGTCTTGTCGAAGGATTCGCTCGGCAAAGAAGAACAAGAACAAGATTTTCTCCGTTACCGCAGTCGAAGGATTGAGCAAGGCAGAGTCGAGACCCTTCTGGGGGCCGAGAGGGGAGGGAGGGGCACCCAAGGGGGCCTGAGCTGCCAGTTTAGTTAATGGTAGTGCTGCCTAGGCATTACTTGTAGGGACAACTTTGGCGTGATAGGGGTGTCTTTGGGGGGGACTCCAACATCATATAGGGACATAGTGCCCTATCTGGCCATGCGCCCACGTACAGAGTTCTCGTACGTGGCACTCGTTAGCTAGGCACCACCAATAGAGTCGCTGGCAAACCGAACCGACCATTCGGAACCCAAGGCCATCACGGTTGCACGCTTGACAGTGGACGGTGGCACTGGATGCACAAAGCCAAGACCAAGGCGAAGGCAGAGATATCACAAGAGTGGCTCGCCTAAACACCTGCATCCACCTCGAATATCTCCTCCTAACTACCTATCGTAGGTAAACTGCTCGTCCTACCGAAGAAATCAAAGGCTAAAGATTTGCTCCGCCGATATTTTGTCTCCTTCTACTTCAGCCCTACTGGTCTTTATTGCGCCGGGGTCATGACCATCAAAAACGCCAGGCGAGATGACCACCATGCCCCCCCAGGATGAATCACACCATTCTGCTAGCTCAGCAAAGCAGTCTTGCTGCTATTGCTGCTACTACTACGGTCATGTCTCCACGGTCCAGCAGCGGCAGCCGAACAAAGTCCAAGACGGGCTGCCGGACTTGTAAAATCCGCAAAATAAAATGTGACGAGTTGATGCCAGAGTGCCGCCGCTGTACCTCCACAGGACGGAAATGCGACGGCTATGGGATCTGGGGAGGGGTCGGAAGAGGAGGAGTCACTAGTAGTGGTACTACAGATGGATATTCTGATGGACGGACAGCTGGTGTTGGTGGTGCTGGTCCTTATACTGACCAACACCGCCATCGTCCCCAGCCCTCGTCGAAGAATGATCATCGGGCTATCACATCACGAACACAGTTGTACTTGTCCCCATACTCACCCCCTAGGACCTTCTCTGTCTACCCGGCCAACGTCCTCGATGCCGACGAAAAGTCTCATCTCGAGTGGTTCTGGTGTCGCACCTCCAAGAAGCTCCAAGGCGCCTTCTTCTCACACGCTGGCAACGCTGTGTTATTCCAAGCCAGCGCCTCCGAGCTGGCCGTGACCCATGCCATGCTGGCCTTGTGCGCTGTCCACAAGGGCGCCGACACGTCAACTCACCTGCGCCACGAAGAGAGCTTCGCCCTGGTTCAATATAACAAGGCAATCAAGTATCTTCGTCCCAGGCTCATGGCCGCCAATGACCGCATGGCGCTCCGGTTGTCGCTGATCTCGTGCATCGCCTTTGTCCAACTCGAGTTCTTCCGTGGCCACTACCAGATGGCCCGGAGTCATCTGGAGCACGGCCTGAGAATGCTGGACAGCTTCAGACTCCACGCTCTTGCGGAATCAAGCAGTGGTAAGCAGCACAGCCGCTCCTTCGTCGACCAGTGGATCCTCCGCAGTTTCAGGGGGTTGTACCTACAGTCGACGTTGTTCGGACAGCCACCTCGCCGTCCATGGGTTGTGACGGAGGACCCGAAGCACATCACAGAGATCGCCACCTTCTCCTCCACACATCAGGCGAGGGAGTATATGGAACACCTGCTCCTCCGTATCTGTCGAGTGAACAAAGCCCACCTGGAGCAGCAATACTCCACCTCACCCCAATCCGATGGGGCATGTGCTGCAGAATGCCTTTCGAAGCAGGACTTGCAGCACCATGTCCAGAGCTGGAAATCCGTCCACGACGAGACCCTGGCGCAGTTCAGAAGCACCATGAACGGGCTGGAGTTGTTCGCGCATCGATTGCTCGATGTCTACCACACCATGGCGGCGGTCATGGTCGACACCCTATTCGAGCCGGGCGAGACACGGTTCGACCGCCACACACACCACTTCGTGTCCATCGTCCAACAGACGCTGGGAGTCCGCAACATGGCCCTGACGAGCGGCGTGCGTCAAAAGTTCTTTGGCTCCGAAGAGGGCCTCTCGCACTCTATCGCCGACCTGGGCACGATGGCCCCGTTGTTCTACCTCGCTCTCAAATGTCGCGTGCGCGGCCTCCGACGCCAGGCCATCCAACTGATCGCCGAAACGCCGCGCAAGGAAGGGATCTGGGACGCCAGCCTCGTCGCGCAGATTGCCAACAAGGTCATGGACCTTGAAGAAGCTGAAGCCGAAGCCGATATCCGCAGTCTAGATGGGCCCGACGACAACTTGCTCATCGTCCCCGATCTCCCCTATGAGCAAATCCAGCCTCTCCCCATCACCCGCGTGCCGGCTCCATCAGCCTCACGGCGCGTGGCAGACATCGAGGTCCTGCTCCCCGACGGCCCTTGGGATGGGGCGATATTGCGATGCAGGTATCAAGACAGCCCCCAGTGCGACACCTATCTCATTGAGAAGCTTCCAATTGCTCCTTGACTTGCGTGCAAACCACGTATGAGCCATGTATAAGCATGGGTGGCTGACTACTGATGTAGAGTTGGAGTGTTATGGTATCCTCCCAGCTGAAGACAAACAGCGACAGCGGCAGATATCCATCTCATAATTCACGGAATATCAACAAGGATTTCTCGTTTTCCTAATCCTCATCCTCATCTTTCATCATACTCAGTAGTCTGTATCCGAGTCCATTTCATGCTTCTTTCTCTTCCCGTGTTGTGCTACTGTAGATATTGATTGCCCTACCCTGCCCATAGTCAGTCCCCTTGACTCAATCACCCTTTCCCAGAACTCTGGGAAATTGGCCGTCGCTTTCAGAACCCATCAATACCGTCCCTTGTTTTCCCAACGTAACATCCCGCCGCATAAGGGGCTTCATATCGTTGATATACCAAAAGGCACATCGACAACTAAACTCCATCATCTTTCTTTCCCTGATAAAACCCCAAAACTGAAAGACTGTTTATACCCATACCATCCCTATCCGATCCTACCCTCTCGTTGTCTTTGCTTATCCTAAAAGTCCGAGGGGTATCCCATAATCATTGTCGTCAAAGGGTCATTTCATAACAACTGTTCCAAAAATGTTGCCGAGTACATGTGTCACCCCAGCAAATAATATGTTCTCCCATCCCATCATACTGACCCGTTCCCAGGAACTCCCTACATGAACAAAATCAAACTGAGAAGCAAAGCAATCGCGTCGGGGTATCGTGACAAGTCTATATTCGAACGCGCCACAGTCCGACATCTCATGCATTTGATACGCGAGACACCCGGCTCCAAACTCCTCATGTGGACCCGACGAAATAAAGGACTACTCCGGACTCGTACGCGGTGTGCCTGATAGCAAGTCGCTTATTGAAAGCCCCAACGGCCGCGGCCGCGAGCTATCGACATGAACACTTGCCGCTATTTTTCCGAGGCAGATGGAGGCGTATCGCCATCGATGGTGCTGCTTGCATTCGTACTAGGTAGTGTTGAGCTGCGGCTACTGGTGGTTGAAGTGGTCAATGGGCCATTGCCTCCAAACAGAAGCTTCTCAATCGCCGTCACCTGCTTCCCATAACTGGTACGTCGAAGAACAGGATAGTTCTGCTCCATGTCCGCTCGCAACGCCTGTTGCTCAGACCCTTGCAACTGGCCAAACACCTTTTCTTCAAATAAGTTAGCGCAAGTCAACAATGAATAGAGCGAATCCCCAAACTTACGCAAGACATAGTTGCCATATTGGTCTCTCATTAGTCCGAGGACTGGAGTGACGCCCTGCTCATTCGGTGCTGTCAAACCACGAAGAATCTGTACGCGTTGATCCTCATCTGCACAATCAATGCTCTTTTCGACAATATTGCTGGCAAATTTGTGTTTGGAAAATGCGAGGAGTTGTTGGAGGACGATATTAACAACCTGGCGGCGGTCCTGCAGCTCACCGTTCTGAATAATATGCTGCACAACATAATTCCCATATGAGTCGCTGATGAGTGGTAGAATGTGTTCCAGAAGCTCGTCCAGAATGACCCGTTTGGCGGGTGGCTGACAATGTTCCAGCATTCGTTGAACCACCCGACAGCCATACTGGTGTGTTGACATCTTCGCCATCTGGCCTCTGTGAGCGTCGACAATAAATTGAATATGTTCACCTGGTATCCGCTCGATGGCCTTTTGCACAACATGGTTGCCGTTCTGATCTTTGACAACCTTCAGTATTTGCAAATTGGGTCCGTCCAATTCTTTGACCAAACTGGCTTGTTGGTCGGTCAAGACGTGCTCAAACGCCTTCTGAACCACACGACATCCGTACATCTGCATCGACAAGTGCAAGACATGGCCCTTCATCTGATGGGCCAAGATTTTCTTCTGCGTCTGATTGCCATGCTCGAACATTTTCTGAATCACATAGTTCCCAAATACGTCCGTCATAAGCTGCAGCAAGTTTGGCTGTATCTCCTTGAAAATCTGCTCTTTCTCGTCACTATTGGCGGTCTCCAATTTCTGCTGGATGAAGCGCGAGCCATGCTGGTCACCGCTGAACTCGACCACATAGTTGTAGATATCCTTGAGCTCAAACCGGCGGTTGGTCTTACTGTTCATTCGAAATTCCTCGAGCAAGGGACTCCTCACAATATGGCTCTGTTCAGGCTCGCGGACCGCCATCCGTGGGCCTGCAGGGAAGTTGTTGATTCCCGAGTGCCCATGTCCAATATACGGATGTGCTAGGGGATTCATCCGCATCGGCTGCACTTGTATTTGGGCATCGTACTGAAATCCATTGCTCACTGTTGGCTGAAGGGAAGCTGAGGCATACATGGCCGGATCGTAGCCATAAAAGTCGATGTTTGTGAACTTGCGGTCAATCAAGAAGGGATCGTGATGCGAGGTACGGCTAGAGACACCGCTTCCCGGAGTGCTGCGGATGGATTGTGGTCCTGTGGGAGGTGTGCCGGTGGTTGAGTAGTACGGACTGTTCAGATTACTCCGGTAGTCATTTTGAAGTGTGGGGAGGTTGCCACGCCCACCGTACTGAAAACCGCCGTAGTGTGGAGCCGCTTGGGGATCCAACCGTGAACCGACATCTGCGACATGCGCAATCGGCGGTTGATAGTTGCTCTCCATCGAATTGAAGTGGGCGCTTGGTTGTGAAGAGGTCTTTGGGGGGAGAGGATGGGTGTCGCGTTGGTATTGTGACGGAATTTTCCGGGAGGGTGCTGGCTGAGCAGTGGCCTGATCCAGATCCAACAATTCCAAAGCTCTCACCGTCTCGTCGTACTTTTGTTTTGAGGGCAGGTGGTATTGTTCAACGTGCTCCGCATTCAGCAGTCGCCCATTCGGCTTAGCATATGTTGGTGAGACAGCATTGTAGCGGGAGAGATTCCCAATTGACATCCCATTCGTGTCTCTGACCGGTCCGTAATTGACTTGTTGGGATAGATGTTCGGTGTGTCCATTAACAGTCGGTAGATGGTGCAGAGGTTGAATTGAACCATCCTCGAACTCCTGGAGCGAACCAAAGATGCTATTCGAGTTGAAGGCGGTTGAGTTGAAGACTTGAAGTTGAGGATCGATCTGGCTACGGCCAAAAGTGGAGGCTCGCGTGGGAGAAGGAAGTACCCGAGGACCGGCTGTGATGGCGCGTCGGAGATGTTGTTCATCAAATGAACTTTCTTCCACATCGGGGGCACTACCCGCAAACAGGCTCGATTCCTGTAGGCCACCACCATTGCCTCTGGCACCGAAATCCAACATCTGATTCTGTCTCTGCTTGGTCGGTGAGAGAGGTTGACCTCTTTGTCTCAGCGGAAAGCCGATAGTGGACGAAGCTGGCGCCCAGGACATCTTGGACTGGGACGCATTCTCATCGTTGAGGTCGGTGGACGTCAGGAACGAGGACGAGGCAGGCTTGGATTGCCCATAATTTGAGACAGAGCCTTGACGCATCGGGGACGCTAAAGAACAGTCAGCGGACATGTCAGCCTCGCCCGGACCCAACGTACGTCTGATCGGGTCACTATCCACGCGAGCCTCCAAAAAGGACTTGTTGGTGCCCCATATCCGACTTGAGGCATTCCAAGCATTCTTTCCCAAATCGTAATCGCTGCCCTGCCCAAGATGTTGTTTGGTAGACGCCATCCGTTCAAATGCTCCGGATCGACCGTTTCTCGCCTGATGTGCACTGATCAGCACCCCCACTTCCGATAGGATCTTCGACTATACTCACTGTGTCTAACGTGGCTCCGGCCTCCATCATGGTCATTTTTGTAGTCCAATACGTGAACAAAACAGACAATACAGGTCCGGTCGGCCAAGTATGCGTGGTGAGGTGAAATGTGCAGAACGCTTGTCGGTCTGGGGGGAGGGGTGGTACTTGAGGATATGAACTGGAAGTCTTGGACCGGCGAGGAAAGGGGAAAACCGAAGTATTTTATCGACTGTCGATAACAGCAGAGTCAGTTTCTGGTGTGTGCGTGCACATATGACTGCGCAGGACAAGAGGGGTGGGATGTGTACCAATATCCGTGAATATGCAGGGTGAGGATGTACACCAACCGACGGAAATTATAATATACCCCGTTGTAGATACAAGGAGGAGAAGAGAAGGAGGCAGAGAGATTAAAGAAGGAGAAGATGTGACCGGTAGGAAGCAAGGTTTGGCAGAGTCATGTACCCCTTCGTTGGCCAGCAAAGCAATGGTACAATTCTCCCAGCAGGCAGCCGCAGGGCAAATGAGAAATCAAGGCCCAAGCCTGATGGCGCCGTAGACGGGTAGCCGCAGGAGACGGGCGAGGGAATATCTGCCAGCAGACATGCGCCTCGACCACGACTTGCGCGCATGGAGCAAGGGATGGAAAATATGATGGGACGAGGGGTGCGAAGTTGTGGAATGCTGCGTCGCCAGGTTTGTGCAAGGTGAGTCGCAAATTCGGGGTGGGGTGGCGGGCGCGGGCGCAGGCGCAGGTGAGGGAGGAGGAGGGATGGGCTGAGAGATTCGGATGCGGGTTGTGGTGGAGCAAGGGCAAACAGAATTCGAAGGGTCAAAAAAACAGATGGCTTGCTAACAAGGGATAAGGATGGCTTGCAAGAAATGAAGTGGAAGTTTGGAAGAGAACGATCAAGGGTTGAAGGTCACACAGAAAAGAACAGGCAAACAGGTACCGGTGAAGGACGACAACCACAAAGATGATGTATCAGAAAAGTTGAGCGGATGATGGAACAAAGAGTTTCCAGCGGGTGGACGGTAGTGGACAGTCAAGAAAGTTGGGCCTAGTGAGCCTAGCCGTTTGGATGATGCGCAGGCATAGGGCAAGCCAGGGCCGCAGGGGGAGGAGGGGGAGATAGGCGGCACCACCCCAGATCGACACAAGGGCTAGGCACCCACTAGGCTAGAACCCACAACAAGAATCGGGGCATCCCTAAGCCCAACAGAGCTTTTCTCCCAGTTGGCAAATGCCAAATGCCAGTACGAGTAGGTAGGGGAGTGGGCCCGACCGCCAGCCTGAGCCCGTTTGGCGTCTTCGGGTGGCTTGCCTTACTGATGATGGGTTCTTTGTCTGGGTCTCTCAGAAAGCACTTTCCCATCATCTGTCAACAAATCGGGGGTCACCATCGTTACCACCACCACCCAGAAAAAAGCCCACAATTAAGGGCTGCTATTATTGTGAGGGACGCCGACTTCCAGCGAGCTTCGATCTAGCTACCTACTACGGAGTACCTACTTACCCAAGTCCCTAAGGAGCCAAGTGAGAGCTTAGACTGTCAAGCGACAAGTCAAGAAAATCCCAAAGTTCAGGTAATGCAAGGGGGAAAGCAAGGGAGGCGTGGGGAGGTCAGCCTATGACCACTACGACTCTTAATGTCTTCCGCCCTTTCTGGATTTTCTGGTGGTTTCACTGCACAACGGTGTGCACGTAGCTCACTGCATTGGGTGGTTCCACATAATCCAGAATTCATACATACTCGTAAGTATCTAGTAATTATTACATGTGGAAAGTATAAATCCGCACAACCAGATAACCGTAACAACCAACCTATGTATTTGTGTGAGAGTAGGCATCCGTCACCTGGTTGGGTCACAGTTACAGCCTCACCACCATCACTAGCCTGTTGAGCTGACTCAGAGATGACGCCAGGGAACAACCACACCTTTTCCTTGTCTGCCATTCCCTTCAGGCTGATGGGCGAACTGACTGGCTGTGTGGGGGATTCTCCCTGCCCCGGAACAAGACATGAAATGTGACGTGGCAAGACGGCGACAGTCATTACTTGAATAATGGAATAAAACACCACCAACAGCAGCACGCTACTCTACCAGCCTATAAGTATGTGTGTACTCGGTACCTCGTACCTTCAACCACAAGTACTCATACAGGCAGTAACCTGGACTAACTAGGGTTGTTCTTTCATGCATTAGGTACTCGGTACCGAGTACAGGCAAAATGATCTCAAGCGAGATATGATTGTCCGAGTATGTAAGCATTGATTGACTCTACAAGCACCCACAAGTACATAGGCTCTGGCTGGGCATCCCTTATCCGTTCTTGGTAAAGGAGGATTGCCATGAACAAGTACAATGTACGAGGTATGAGCACATGCCAAGTACGCAACTGGTGCAGCAACGGGCGGGTATAACTGCCGAAGTTGAATGTTCATTGCTCGTTGAAGTCATCAATCTCATCACATGGAGATGGCAAGGGGGCAAGGGAGAAGAGTTATATGCTGTCCGCTACAGAGTGTCCTCGTAATGTGCTTGGAGAGATGGAGATAAAAGGATGGACAATTTCACCTTTGGGAAATGAAAGGAAGTGGCAACCTACCTGATTTGTTTGTTGATGGATTGCCATTTCCAAGCCTAACATGATAAACTCGTTGCTCTAAGCTCCGTGTGCCGACTGTTGTGGCCCTTACGTGGCCCCCTAAGATTCTGGGCCTTGGCCCCATTGGCCCATTCAGGGCGCCTTGCGAGATTGGGGTTGATGATTGGCACCGCCTGGGCGCTGCCAATCCACAACATGTGCTTACCTAGTTCCATCGGCGCTCCGAACCCCGGCCAGCCTGCGAATGCTGGCGACCGTTTGGGCGGCACTGTGGCTTGCAGAGGCCCCAGAATATGCCCTACTAATGGCTTGGGTGGCTGTTGGCGGGTCTCTCAGACTCTTTTCGACTCGCTGTCACAGCTCAGAACCCGGCAAATTGAGTGTCAGGCTTGATCTGCGCAGTGGAACTCGCTGCTCCATCGACATCACTGACGGTGGTGTTGGTGCTCTCCCCAATATTGCCATCTACATACTACTAGTCACTCCCTCTCTACCCATCAACAGCTCTTCTCGAATTTTGCTACACCACAATCCTCTTTTTCCTTCTCTTTCTTGCACTCTGCTTCATGCTTGTTGGCAGTCTCCAGCTTCACTCTTTTGCTGGATTCTCGCCGTCCGTTCTTTCCTAACACGCTCACTAGCTTCACAGTCTTGGAGAGAGATAAGGTTGTTCCGCCTGGTACCAAAACGGCTGTGCCCGCGTTGACGTGCTGCTGCTGCTGGGACTTCCTACAGACTCTGCATTGGCATTCGGACTCTTATCAGCGTTTTCTACGCCCTACAGCCCGATTCAGGGCGATAGTTGAGACATCGACTCTCTTTAAAGAAGTTCACGATCGAGCCCGCCGCCCCCAAATCCATCCCGCATTCCCATCGCAGTGCCAGACTCCGATCTCCGACTCTCCCTCACCTCAGCCTCATTGCTAGAGATCTATATTCGTCTACGTCCTCGACGGACGTCTCAAAGAGTCTACGACGACTGCGGAGCTGTAGTCATGGACTCGTTAAAATACACATATCTTCAACGTCGTGATGATTCGGACTTTGCAGACGACGGACCATCATACTCAATGCACCAGCTCCTGTTTGTCCTTTTCACGCTCGTGCTCATGGCCTTGCTGTGCTCGGTAGCACTCGTCTGCCTTCGTCGGCGACGGCAAGTTAAAGAGCAAGATGCACTATTACCGACACACCACCAACCGTCGCATTATCGCTCTCCATCAATCAGCCATTTCGGTAACCAGAACAAGAACGAGTCCATCTTTGTCTACGACGAAAAAATGAATCTGATTCACAACTCCTCCAGCCCTCCTTCCACCGCAGTCCCAGAAATCCACATCACCTTCCCCGATGAAGAGGGCAAGACTGGCTTGCAGAAAGGACGTGTCGTGGTAGTCCACGTTACCGACTCGGGCAGTGTGGGCATGGAGCCGCTCAACCAAGAGAATCTACCACCTTATCGGAAAGAAGACAGCGACCGATTTCAATCCCTCGACCTCGAACGGATAGGTGGACTCCGGGAAAAAGAACCTTTAACTCAGAGGTTCTCATGAGCCGCCTCGCCAACTCTGATGTCGTCCCAATGGACCAAAAACCCCCAATTCTGCGGAGGAGCTACCATTGCGCCCCAATTCTGTGGCGCCACAGTCCATAATACCCGATTCCGCTGCGATAATTGTGTGGGGGAACCATCTTGATGGGAAATCACACCGCTACGATGATTGTACAGAAAGCTAATATGGGGTGCCGACCTTGTTCATAGAAGCCCTTGAGTGGGAATTTTGTACATATTGTATAGTCGACATGCATCTCTGCGGCATGACCGGCCTCTGTGCCTGGATTCAATACGAGATGTTTGCCATGTTACAACGGGTGCATAGCTCGGTTCCAATTCAATGACAAGAGAACGAGATGTGTTCGCATGCAGCTAAAAAGGTAGCTTACTTCTGAAATGTGTGGTTTATGCCATATTTGTAGAACTTCGAATGCACAACCTGCAGCGAGCCGAGCTCCACCACCAAGTCATCGACAGGTCGAACCCGGCACCGGCACATTGAGAATCATTCAGCTCCCAAGGAAACACCTGAGCTCCTCACAGACCCAGTTTATCACGCCGACTACTACTAATACCAACACCCACCACACCACAAAGTCATCATTGCCCACCAACACTATCCTTACGCTCGCTATCCCCCATCTCATTATTGTTTGTTTGGCCTAGATGGCTTCCACGTGTCACTGTCTGGCTGAGAACAGGTTTTTGTGAAGCTCCACTTTCTCATCTTCCAGGCCGGAAACGCGTCAATAGCGCCTGGCCAATCACTGCAACTCGACCTCGACCGATTCCGCATTTCTGTGTTGACAAGCCGACACAAACACTGCGATCGCCTCCGTCACCGCGAGGACCCCTCTGGTCCCTCTGTCTCTGATTGTGAAT